TAATTTTTTGCAAGGGATTTAATTCTTTGTTAAATGGATAATTTATATTGTTTTGAATACAATATTTTTTCATCCATGAGAAAAAATAAGTATTTATTTGTATTTTCTCTAAATATTTATAAAATTTTTCTCTAATTTCTGTCCTTTGTTGTTGACTAAATGTTTCTATTAGCCAGGTTTTTCTATCTATATTATGTTCTCCATCTATGTCTTCTTTAATCCATTTTTTATTTATAATAAAAGGTTCAATTTTTTCTATTGTATTTAAAACCTGAGAAGGTGTTAGACTGTAATTTATTTCTGAGTTTTGGTCATAGACGGGGATAGAAACTCCAAGTCTGGTTATGTTATCAATTTTGGTTAGATCTATGTCTACTGTTGATCCGCTAATAGAGTGTCTTGAGGGTTCTCTAATAGTGGATGGTTGTGTTATACGAATTGTTCTAGACCTATTCATTCTTAATCTGAACCTTTCTGGTTCTTCTATTATATCCCTTATTTCTGTATTTTCTTGTTTAATAGAATAGGGTTCTTCAAAAACCCATTCCTCTGGTATTGTTAATTGATCATGTCTTAATCTTTTGGGTACTTGTACTAAACTTCTATTTAAGTTAGCCTGTATAACTACTGTTTCGTCTTTATTGATTTGTCTATTGACTTTAAATCCATAAGGAATTTTGGTAATTTTGTAATAAACTCTATAGATCACATGAAATGGATTGAACGAGTCATCTACAATATCTTCTTTTACTTTTGTAAATATTTTTATGGCTTTAGATGTTTTTTCATTATCTAAAGACATTGATATATTGGGGTAACAGTTAAAGAAAATTGGCCCATCATGTAAATTACTTTCTAAAGCTGCTATTATGGAGTCACTTTTGTTGTATAATTTCATATCTCTTAATAGTACAAGTATAGGGAGATCTACTCTTAACTTAAAATTTAGTTTTACTGCTAATTGGATTAACCCTATATGAATAAATTTAAAACCTTATTGTTTATGGTTTTGTATAAGTGGATCTTCTAAAAGTTGAATTGCATCTTTTAATCTTGTTCCACGATAAGAATATTCTATTTTGTGAATTTGTTCATGATTATTTTTAAATGACCATACAGATCTATCCTTGTATACCTCTTTTTCTTTAATTAAAGGTATTTGACCAATCATGTAAAGATTTTTCAATATCATCTATGGTAATTTGTTGTGGTGTTGTAGAAGAAAAAGAAGAAGTTATTTGTGAAGAGGAAGAATTTTCATCTTCTGCTCTCATTACTCTTGTAACTATCTCTTTGTTTCTACCTAGGGCTAAATTACTCATTGTTCTTAATAAATTAGCCATCTTGAATCCTAAAGGCTACGGGAACACCCAGGCTTACCAACGGTTTCACTGCCTACACACAAGACTTACTACCGGGAATACCCTCTAGGCTTACCAACGTACACACAGTTCTCACTGCTACCCATTTGAATTCTAAATGATTAACTTATGTAGAATAAGTTATAATCAACTCAAGATATAGCAAAAGAAGATTACAAGATTAATGATATGCATATGATTAAAATTCAAGCTCTTGACAAAACTTTCAAATCTTTCTTATTTTCTTTGATATCTAAAAAGAGCATTTTTCCTTTCAAAACTATTTTGAGTTTGTTGTAGAGGTTTTCTAAATTCTCTTATTTTTCTTCTGATATCAATAGGATGCAAGAATTCATATTCTCTATAATCATAAATATAAAAAGGCATTATAACTTCGTATGGCATATATATATATAAAAGAATAATTATTCTTAAAAATTACACGTTATTTTTTTATATAGGATGTTTTTAATTTCTTTTTTTTTTGAATTATAAATTTAAATTATTTTGTACGACTTTATATATATATATATTATTTTTAAAATTAAAAAAATAATTTTTAATCTTTAATTTTAAAATTTTATTTAAATTAATTATGTGTGTAAATTGTATAATTTTAAACATTCTCTCCATTAAAATATTTTATATTTTAATTAATTATTTATATTTTTCATTTTAATATATATATATATATATCAAATAGAGTAAAATTAAAATATAAATTAATATAATATTAATTTAATAATTTTATTTAGATATAAATTTATTCTTATAATTCTAATAAAACATATCCAAATATAATTTATTATTTTATTAATAATACTTAAATTTTGTTTATATGAATAATATCAGCAAAAAATGAATCCAAACTATAGAAATGTTTAATAAAAAGTATTTGACTATAATTTAGTTTAATTTAATTTAGTTTTTGGTATCTTTCATAAACAATACAGTTACATTTTATTTATACTAATCATATTAATAGAAAGAACTTCAATTTTGTTTTATAAATTCATAGCATTTTAAATAAATGTTTTTTGCCTATAGTATTAGAAGTTGATTGTTGTATTAATTGAAATCCATTCAAAATTTCACAACGATCAACGTTCAAAAGACTGATTGTTAATATGATACTATCTAACAATATAAATAACTTAAATAAAATATAAAGTATACTTATATTAGTTTATTTGAATTGACCTTGTTATGATAAATTAGTTAATTACTTACATTTTAAGAGTCTTGTTAATTATTTTATAAATAAATATATACTTAAGTTCAATAAGTTTATTGAGTATTTTTAAGTATTATGTTTACAATATTCAACGTTTAAGATATATAAAATTTTAAACTAAAATAATATATTTAAATTTGAATAATTTTGTATAATTGTACAGAGTTAATTTGTGAAAGAGAAAACAGAATAGCGGGATGCCCATGGCTCACATATGGCTTGATTTGCTTGCCAAGTTCTCCTTAGTGGCCCAACATGCACGTTGCCATTCATTTTCTGCAAGCAAACCTCGTACCTAGGAATCCTATGCTCTCCCTCTTGTGTAATTGTTTGAAAGATTTTTCAGCAGATATATATTTTAATTTTCTAATTAAAAATTCTATATTATTATTATATATATATTTATTAAAATATAAAAAAATACTCTCTCTTTCTCTTCTCTTTAAAATATTTTTTTTTCAAATGACTCCCTAGTATAAAAAATTATTGTTTATGAATTATTCAAGTTTGGTTCATCAAAACTTCGTTTGGACAAGATATTTTGTGAAAGGATTTAACGTATTGTTAATTAAAATAATTTTTTTATACAAAAGTTGGAAATTGTAAGAATTTGAGTGGAGAATTTTACTTAATTAAAATGTGAGAATTTACCATTCCTCCTAAATAGATGAAATTTTCGACCCCTATTTTAATACATTCACCATCAACCCACATTTTAAAATTAAAACTTTTAAGCAAGCACGTTATTTTAATAGTTTATAACTTTAATATGGCACTTCAAGTAAAAAGCCTTTTGAATTTGAAATCGAAAGTCTAAAACACTCATAAAGTTCTAATGATAAAATTAAAATATTGTAAAAAAAAAGTAGTACAAATAATTTTTTATATTTTCATCTTTGTCATACAAATCTTTAAAAAATAAAAATAAAATAGGAGTAAAATCTTTTTATACTAGTATAAGTCTAAAAACTCTTACATTCAATATTCAATATGAGTATTTTATTTAATTTATATATAATAAGTTGTAATTTATTACTTTACTAATCATTACATGTAAGTTAAATGAAAAGTTCAAATTAAGTGTAAGAGTTTTTAAATTTACATTAGTATGTAAGAAAATCATTCCCTAATAAAGTAATAGTTTCGTGACTAAAAATAAATAAATAAATTTGTGAATCACAATATTTTTTTTTTTTAAGAGTTATTAAGTGAAAGTATATTAACAGTTTTTTATATTAGTTTTTTTTATTCAAATTATATGCGTGAGATTATGCAAGATCTCTAGTTAACATGGGAGTGACAAATTCGTTTGATATACGTATGTGTATTGTATGTATATATTTCCTAGAAATGAGGCCAATAAAGTTTCAAGAAAAGAACTGATTTGCTAGGTCAGTAGGGTTGGTTCGTGTAAGACAAGAATGGGGGCAAAACGTGGTTTAAAAAACAAGTTCCACCATTAATTGTATGATATTTCAAATAAATGTCAACGAGTTGATTTTAGTAATCAATATCAATAATAGCGGCAATGATTAATTTGTCAATATTTATATTAGACCTCAGTTATTAATATATTTAACACATTATTTTAATATACTTCAAAATTTACCACTTAAGTCGTGATTATCAGGACTAATTTAACCTGTGATCTCAAGTTACATAAAAGTTAATTTAGCATACTGAATTGAAGGATAAATGCTTCTCAACACGTATTTTTTCCATTTACAACATCAAACTTGCATAAGAGTAGTCCATGCAACAATAACTTAAATTTTGCCGATTGTTATATGATATTTTTTATTTGCTTAAGGGGATGATGAAGCTGGAGTTGCTTGTTTAGGAGGTTATTGGAAAGATATTTTTGTTGGTCCCTGGTGAATGCAAATAACTGAGTAGTAGTACTTTTGAGAGAGAGATGAACACTAACAATAATAACTGGTAGCAGGAATTTGATTATCATCATTTATGCTATGTTATGGATACATATAAGCGTGAAACATGAGGGTGATTGATTTCCAATAGTCTATGTGCTCATGATCTGGTGCCAGTGACCCACATCGGTCATTGGGTTGGCCTCTTTGTAAGTGATTGAAGCCAATCCATCTTCACGCACCCTTATTGGAGCGTGTATGATTGCTTCAGCATTTTAATGATTGCTTTTGCATTTTAATTACCATTCTCTAGCTCAGAAATCTCATAGTCACATCACTGAAGGAAAGGCCTCTTTGCTTTCTGCTTTTGAAATGAAGTGTAGATTTGAAGTGCTTTCGTATCTTTCTTTGATTACCCTCTCTCTAATACATATTAGATTGAAATATTGTTTCTTGAAAAAAAAAAAAAAAACTATGCATAGAGACATATGTTTAACGAAAACATATATACAATGATACAACAATGCATATGCAACATAAGTCAACAAAACAACAATTAAAACACCCTGAAAGAGATAGATAGATAGCGGGCACCCTTTAACGCTTGCTTCTACTACTAAGCTACAGAAGGTGACCCTCCATCTATACTTCTAGTTTTTGTACTTTTCTTTCTTCCACTACCATTTTCTCTTTTTTCTTTCAAACAAGAGATGAAGTGATTATGTGTTTTTTAACAGGATCTTTGAGGCCAGACCCCATCTCAAGCACCCTTTTTTCTCTACTCCCTTTGAATTTTCTCTAGTCTTTCTCTGCATCCCTTATTCTTGTAGAATTGATGTCTGGCTTGTACAATCAGATTTCTTCACCTGGAATAGCAAGGGCCAACTCACCAAACATAAACATGAGAAGCAATTTTGACGTTGATAGGTAAATGGATTGTGGGTGATTCTTCTTCTGTTATTTATTGTTAAAAGCTCTGATTTTTCAGGTACCTATGTATGTATGTGTTTATGTTTGGTGTCACGGCTTCAATTGACTTCTGGCGCATGTTTTTGTTTACGTTTCTCATAGTCCGTACTTAACGGAACTACTAGCAGAACACCAGAAGCTTGGACCTTTCATGCAAGTCCTACCCTTATGTACCAGGCTCTTAAATCAAGGTTGGTCTCTCTCTCTCTCTCTCTCTCTCTCTCTCTCTATATATATATATATATATATATATATATATAATTCAAGGTTTTGCTATTGAGAATTACCTTCTTTTGCTTACTATAGAATTCTTATATGACTTTTATGTTACAATCTGAATTAGTCTCCTATACATGTGACTTGAGCAAAGTTCAACAAGAACATGATTCTATATAATTGTTATCTGTTAACAAATTCGTGAAATGAAATCAATCATCTTAAGTTAATGCAGGGCGAAAAATCCTTAGAAGGTCTGAAAAGAGGTGGCAATGCTTGTTACTTTCCACAGCAATATGGATCTATATCTGTATTCTTTTTCAAAATGCTTCTTTGATAGAAAATATTCTCTAATACATTAAAAAAATAAATTAGCCATATTCTTTTACTATTAAATAATATTAATGCTGGCTAGAACATTCTGTTTGTTATCAGAGATTTTAAGGGTTTCTGGAAAGAATGGATTGATGCAGAACCAAGGGTTTAGTGACTTTGACAGAGTACAGTTTGGAAGCCCCAAGCCAAGTATAATGCCTTCTTTAGACACAACACCAAATTTTACTGGCTGGAACAACCTGTCACATGAAGTAAGTATTTTGTTTTCTGTTCTGTCCTACTTTTTCTTGTTTCAATGTCAATCTATAAAACCATTCATGTCTTGTTGTAAAAGAAATTCTGTTTCATAGCAAATCAAGTTCAGGCAATTAGATATTTAGATTATCTGTTTTCTACTGTGTATAAAGTGGCAATGTTGTTTATATTTGATAAATTTGCATTGGTTCCCTTAATCTGGTTTTGTGGAAAAAAAAGCACCTACTATCTGATTTCTTTCTATCGTGTACCGGTATTCCTCTTCCAATTTTTCATTCTTTCACTTCTTTTCTTTGTTTATCCTTTGGTAATTTCACTTGCTAAGAGATTAAGTCCAATCTTACATCAGAGGTTAGCTGGAGCACAGGGACTAAATGTCGATTGGCAAACAGCACCAAGTGTCCCTGGTTCTCACATTGTGAAGAGGATATTGCGTTTGGATATTCCTAATGATAGCTATCCAAACGTAAGACATTTAAAGCATTTTAAGGCATTTTCCTGTAACTTAGGCAGGTTCATATCATGTTGTAATAGTTTTATGGCGTTCTACTGAGCTTTGAGTCACTAAGCCTTGCTTAAATTTCAGTTCAACTTTGTTGGGAGGCTTCTAGGCCCAAGGGGTAATTCACTGAAGCGAGTGGAGGCTACCACAGGTTGCCGTGTGTATATCAGAGGGACAGGTTCAATAAAAGACCCAGACAAGGTATCATCTCTTCCTTATTGTCTAGCAACTCCACAGAACCTAATTCAATGATATGCGTCATAATTGCTCCTTCTTTTGATTTGTTGACTCATTTTATTTTTACCTTTACATCTATATTTTGCATTCACAACATATATATATATATATATATATATATATATATATATGTATATATATATATTGTTGTTAATTGTAACTGCATGTTAACTTCTTTAAAGGAAGAGTTGTTAAGGGGAAGGCCTGGCTATGAGCACCTGAATGAACCGCTACACGTTTTGATTGAAGCTGAATTACCTGTCAATGTTGTTGATATAAGGCTGAGGCAAGCTCAAGAAATCATAGAAGAGCTACTTAAACCCGTGGTATCTCTTTATTATAATAATTCTTTTGCTGAACTAGAATATTACTTACTAATTAGATTTTTCTTTTTGTTTCTACTTTCACCCGATACATTTTATGCAAGGTGTTGTCAATTGCTATATTGTTTTCCTTTCCAAGTTAAATGAAAGCTTGTTACTAGAGAACTACTCTTTTGATATTTTACCCATTACGCAGATTTAAAAAAATTAAAAAGGTATTATGGCAATTTTATCTTATCAGTGTTTAGGAAACATTATTTTCTTCTTTACATTTCTTTTCTGCATTTTACTTAGGATAATCAATCTATTTAAAGTATTTAAAAGCGAGTTTTCTTTTGAACCAAATGTTCCATTAGTACTTGCAATTTAAGTCACTTTGCAAAGTGACTTATTTTATAAAAGTATTTCTCATTCTCCACCTTTTTCATAAGCAGGATGAGTCACAGGACTTCTACAAGAGGCAACAACTAAGAGAACTTGCTATGCTGAATTCCAATTTTAGAGAAGAGAGCCCTCAACTCAGTGGTAGTCTCTCTCCATTCACCTCTAATGAAATAAAACGGGCCAAAACTGACAAATAGAGAATGTACACATTTTATGTTACTTTCAGTGTGTAAATTCTGTGTGGTTGCTATTGGAAGACCATGTTAAGTTGCAGAACAAAATGAGAAGTGATAGAAGGGATAGATACATATTCATTGTCACAGTAAAGTGCATTAGTAGACTTGCAAAACTAGGAGAATTCTTATTATTACATTTTGACCAGTTGATTAGAATATCTGTAATGTCTAGAAATATGACACATCTGGGACTTGTATAAACTGTTTATTATTGTTGGTTCATGATTGCATGGAAAGAAGTGTTTCATATAGGAGTATGTAACTTTACTGAGCACAATAACATTTTGCTTTGTTATGATGGCCGTATCTTAAGGATAATGTCTTAATGGTAGGGTCCTTGGGGTTAATGTAGATGTGGATGTTGTTGTCCATAACTCTACTGAGCCAAGCTAATCTTCTTTTGGCTTGACTTATTAATGATTGTCTGTGTAAAGTGGGGTTATTCTAGATTTTAGATAGTCCATCGTGGGGCCATCATGTCGCAAGTCATCCACCAGCTTCTCTATCTTCTGCCAAACCCCATTTACACCATATAAAGATGAGCTTAGAGTCTGCTTTATAACTAAATTGTCTCAATAATTAAGGTGAGTTGATGTTTCATCATTATATTTGCATTCTTTTAGTTGCCCTTGATAATGACAACATATTAAATATTAGTATACTATATATTTAAATATCTAGCTTACTCCTTTTTTTTTATTATTATTAAAAGTGTTTTGTTTTAGCTATTTCGTAAGTAAAATAAAATAAATACTAGTTAGTAAGATTAGTTTAAAAATTTAAAATAAAAAGTATTATTATATTTTAACATAATTTATAAAATTTAATTGAAATGTTCTATTTTTATACTGTTATATAATTATGAATTATTATGAGTAAAAATCATTAATTTTGTAATAATTAAAATTTTATATTTATTATATATTTTATTTAATTAATATTATAAATATTTTTTTACAATAATAACGACTCAAAACTAAACTCTAATATATAATAAAAATATTATTTATTCATTAATTAGTATTCTTTAAATAAGACTTATAAAAATATTCAAAATAAGATCCTGACAATACTGATCATGAATTATTTATTTGATTATAATTAAACTATAAATAAATTAAATAAAAAAAATTCAAACGAGTCAAGCATGCTTTAAATCGCCAATTTTAAATTTGTTTGATCAATTGTTTTATTGGTTCATATAATCTTTAAAATTAACTTATTTGATTTTTTTTATTGTAAGAAGAGTACTAGAAATACATTGTATAATACACTATTTTAAACATATTTTTAATTATTAGTTAAATTTTATTAATAACTATAAGAGTATAAAAGAAAATTATTAACTGATAAATAATAAAGAGTGAGATATATATGATTTTGTAATTTTAATAAATTTTAATAAATAATCAAAAGTGTGCTAACACATGTACTATTAATATTTTTTTTTTGCACAAAATAATGTGTTTAGCATACTAAAATAATGCAAGTAACTGGTTAATGGGAAACACACATCATCCTGTTTTCGGTAAAATGGTATTTTTTATTTTTGTGTTTAAATTTATATTTTAATTAATTTTTTAAATTCAATTCATTCTTCTATATATATATATTATTTATAATTAAATTTATTCTTTTAAATTATTTTTTATGACATATTTAATTTTTTTTTTCATTTAGCAAATATTTTGGTATTTTATTGGACATGCATTTATAAAAAAATGATTAAAATAGAGAGCAAATTAAGAACTAACTGATCATAAATAATTTGAAGACAATTATAAAAACTTTAGGACCGTTAAGTGTTTTGAATGATAATTCGATAATAAACTACGGAAAAGATATAAATAAGAAAATATAGTTTAGAATGTACTATTTAAAATTTTGTTTAATTTGATAAGTCATTAAAGAGAAAAAAAAATTAATTTTTTTATATAAGTTCACAAAATACATGTTACAAAATATGTGTAAAATCATTTATTTTTAGGAATAAAAAATTAAATTTATAATATAGAGATAAATTATATAAAAATGGTGATGATATAAATTATTCGTATTGATTCAAATATCATACCAAAATCCAAGTACGGAAAAATATAATAACTTTTTATCTCTAAAATAATTTTTTTTAACTCAATTCTCTTAAAGAATAATGAAAATTATCTTAATCTTTTTAATAAATTAATTATACATATTTTTATAAAATTAAAAAAATATTTTTAAATTTATAGTTTCACTTATTTGATTCTTTCTAATTATTTGTTGGTCTTGTGATTCTTTCTAATTAAACTGTGACGTGGGGCGTTAGGAAACAAGTGATTGTCCTACGCAGTCGTATTGGACTGGACTCGGTAAAGAGGGAAGATCCGATCCAATTCCAATCCAAAAAATATGGATGCAAATTAAAAATTAGGGTTCCGATTCCATTTCACATCCGCATTCATTTCTGTTGTGTCGTTGTGTAATAGCATCGCTTGGATCGAAGAAGATGGGGAAACAAATTGTGCCAGTGAAATCGGTGATCTATGCACTCTCCCCTTTCCAGCAGAAGATAATGACCGGTCTCTGGAAGGATCTTCCAACCAAGATTCATCACAAAGTCTCCGAGAATTGGATCAGCGCCACTCTCTTACTGGCTCCCCTCGTCGGCACCTACACGTAACACCCCCCCCCTTCTCTCTCTCTCTCTCTCAGGGTTTTCAGCTTTTCGTGTTTTATTATGTTGTCGTGTTTGTAAATTCAATTAGCTTTTGGATAAAAATGACTGGAGTTTATCTCCTAAGTGTTTAACCAAACGTTGGAAATTGAACGGCGATTTAGTTTTATTGAGCAGTTTATTGTTATTTAACTGGATTATGTCTGTTCGTGCTTTGTATTTGTATTTTGATCTGAAGTCTGAATTGCCTGGGGAAAAGGGAACTTATTCATTTCAGTAACTGCTAAAATAACTATACTATGTGCCCTAATAAACGATGCATAACTACTTGTCATGATTCTGTTCAGTTTGATATACCTTTCCATGTATGTGTGGCGTATTTAGGTTTTAGCAGCGATTTTGGTGGTGTCATTTTAGATTACTGGCTTTGGTTGTTGCAGAAACCATGGTTGAAACCTATGTTGAATTTTACCTACATTGTGCCTCCAAATGGGAACAATACAAGACTGGCAAGGTTGAGATCCTGTGTATGATTGTAAGGGGAGAATAAACACATGAAATGTGAGATTGTAATTCTGATCTTATTAGATTCTATCTAGATTGCAGAATTGAAGTCAAACGTGCACACTCGTACAAATAATGTAAAGAAGCTAGATAGCCTTAAAATTGAAACTGACATTTAATTAAACTCAAATTACAATCTGATTAAGGTTAATTTATAACATAATAAAGGACTTATGAAGTTATTTACACATAAAACTTGAAGACACAGTCAAGACTTTGTGTGTGCTTTCCCAAGGGTTAAAGATTGTAATTTTTAGTATTTTTGGGTCTTGACTCCTATATGTTAATTGAAAAAGGAAAAAAAAAACTGTGGATGCACCAACAGAGTTAAAAGACAGACCCACGCCCACCTCATTGAAACATCCAGCTGCCCTGAGGTCAACAACTCAGATGCAGGGCAGCACCTTGATGAAGCTCCATGCCTCACCTGCAACACAACCTGATTGTTTCTGCCTTGTAAACTTCCTTTAGCCACAGATTTTTTTGCTTTGGGAAATCATGGCTTGTACTGTGGGCACTGGGTCTATGCATAGTTAAAGGTAGTCATGTAAAGTTAGGGTCCGGGAGTCAAACAAACAAACTCTCAGCCCTGAACAAAGGTGGATCACCAACAGAGTGGTGGCACCACTCAGAGTCACAGCACCACTAATGCAGTGGAACAGTGATGGGTTGTGTGTGTCTGAGGTTTTTTTTTTTTTTTTTGGTAGGGGGGTTGTTTAATTTTTGAGGCTGAGATCCTTTCTGGAAGAAATGGGTTGCTCAGCTCTTCCACTTACATGGCGGCAGCTTCCCCAGATTTGTGAAAATTACCCTAATTCAGTCATTTCACAAGCTTGCCTGATGATTGATCAAAGTTTTCACCAATTTGAGTTGGTGCAAATAATTGTATCAAGCTCCCACATAGAAGTATAAGATTGTGCAATCCTTTGAGGAAGATTGTGATGTTAGTAACATTGTTGCTATGTGTTACTACTAACAATGCTATTGTGCAAATTTTGTGGTACCGCACCTGCAACCCAAATGAAAGAAAAAATTGGGGAAAGAAAACTAGAGGTGTTGGGTGGAATGAAGAGATTCTATTTCATTTCATTCTATTCTAAATAATTCAAACATTTACAGTAGTGTAATGTTATTCTATTCTGTTGCATTTTGTCTCCTCCCCCCAATCCAATGTTGCCTCAGCAACCGTTGTTATTACTTAGATCTATTAAAAGATCAAATAACGATGAAGTCTTATCTCACTAGGTGAGGTAGGCTAATATTAAAAGATCAAAGGAAGATGAAAAAACTAAATTTAACTGAATAATTGATTTGATATTTATTTCCTTGAAGCAAATCTGTTAACTTAGCAGTCAGCTCTGGTCATTTAATAAAAGGGATAGAATTGAACTGAAATTAGCTACCCTGTAATTCTTTGGAGAGGTGGGTTTGAAGCAGAAAATAAATGCTGAATTAGTTATTATAGTATATCCTGCCATGAATCTCAAGGAGCAGCAAAGACGAAGGCTGAAGCATCACTGGAGCCATAGATGGGAACATATAATCCACTAGTAGCAGATCCAATTGACCTTGTTGATCCAATCGATTATGCAGTAGATTTAGCAGCATAACCAAAACGAGTACCTAAAGTGCATTGCATAGTGAATAGTTGAACCTCTTGAGTGATTCACCTCTCCTTAGAATTGCTTATTAGCTATAAGTAGCTTTGACTGGAAAAAAAAAAAAAACTCTCAGGGTGGTTAAATTTGTATGTCTAATATATCTTTCGATGGATGCAGGTATGTTCAGAACTACCAGGAAAAGGAGAAGTTGGCTCACAGGTACTGAGCTCACGCCAGATTGGATAAACCTTCAACATTGTTGCTATACTCTTGTTTAGCCAGCCAATAACGTGACTGTTGAAACTCGCTCTTACCCTTTGGTTTTGAGATGTCTATGAATTTGAGCCTTTCCAACTTTGACAGTACTTATTGATATAGTCTACTACATTTTACTCATCTATATTACTTCATATTATAAAGGACAAGGTATGTGTTGTCAATAATGCCAGAGTTAGTTTGACAAAATGTGTTGGCATGTAAACTCTAGGATGGTTGAGTTGCTTTTATCTTTTTTAAATTCAAACAACCATTCTTACATAATTGCTAAATTTTGCCCAATTTAATTTAGCCGTGTATCTCTTCAAAAAAGAAGCAGCATAATTCTAATAATATATGAGCCTTTTCAATGTAATATTTTTCTAATAAATGCTGTGAAATCAATCACTAAATTCTGATCTGGTGTTGCATCGTAACCAAACATTATAATTTAGACGATTATATAGTCAAATACCCCATAAAAACTGGCAGTGTCAAGGACCTTCCATATAAATTTTATGTCCATGACGATTTATTGTAGTAGTATCATTGGTAGGGGTAAAAACAAGTCTAGTTTAGTTAAACTAAGGAGCCTAGTCTATTTACGGGACAGGGGTCATAGTTCTAATAATTACATTTTTTGAGACTTGACATGACATGCTTTTAGTTTTCAACGTTATTTGAAATCTTGCTTTGTTATAAGAGTTCTGAAATAGTTACTTTTTTATTTTCTTTATAAATTTGTAGATCTAAATTTATATGTAATTAGAACTTCGTACGTAAAATAAATATATAATTTTAAATTATTATTATTTAAAGAGATTGAATTGTTATGTTTAAAAGGTTTTTTTTAATTATTAGCAAAAAAAAAAGAGGGTTTTTTTTAATGGCCTCAAATGGACTTAAAAAAGTCTAAACATATCTTATTTAGTAAATAAGTGTGATGCAACTTAAACGTGATGTAAGTTAATTATATATATATATTTATTATTTTATTAGTTATTAGATTTAAGTTAAATGAAAAGCTTAGATTAAATGTAAGAATTTTTAGATTTATATTAGTGTAAATTTTTTTTTTTATATATAAATATCATTAAAGTTAAATTTTTTTTATAAAATATTATCAAATGTCTTATAATACCAATGAATGTTTTATTATAAAATTGGTTAATAACTATAAATTATTTGTTAATCTCTTTGTTTTTTCATTTTACATGGTTAGCTTACTTTTAACCTATGCAAAATTGAATTGTAGCATTTTTTAGCAATTTTTTTTTACACTCTTTTTCTATAGGTCTTTTAACTATTGAGTGATGTCTTATATAGGTTCTATTAATAAGCGCTTAATCTTTAGTAGTGGGATAAATAGGATAGTTTATTCAATAATAAAGTGTTTAAAAAGAATTCAATACTTCTCGAACGTACTTTAAGCCAATGAAACTTCAAATGTATAAAAAAAGAGATTTGACTTTTTAAAATAGATGAATGTACTTTAAAAGATAAAATTTTAATTATAATTGTTTATTAAAAACTAACTGTTAATATTATAATAATTTGTATAAATATGTATGCTAAATTATGAAGTTATTATAATTTTAGTTGATCTTTTTAATCAATAATTATACTATATCTCTAAAATCAACTCTATTATTTTAGAGGAGTTAAATTTAATTATAAAAATTGTAAAAGTTATAACTTCAAATTTCAAAAATACACTTGAAATTAAATTCATCAGATTTATGGAAACGAAACTTGTTAATAAATGGAAAGTAGATCATCATTTTGGATTTTGAAAAATTATATTGACATCATTCTAGTTCCTATAAGCGATATTACTTTAATAGTCTTTTGAAAGATGAAGAGTGCTAACAAATTCAAATCAGAAAATCGCCATCAATTTAATCATAAAACTATAACTTTGATGTCAAATATTATTATTATTATTCTGACGTCACTTATCTTTTAAATCAAAATCATTTCAACCTAATCTTTTGTGTACTAAAATAAATGTGTATTCCAATTTTCAAAGAGATTCTGAGTACTGTTTCTTTCGTCATCCGTTGTTGATTGGTTCAACTGCAACTAAAAAAAGGTTTCTGCGAGAACAAATTGCAACTTCAAAGTTTAATAGCTGGCTAGCCAGCATGCGGCATGCAGCACTCAGCATTCAGCATGCTTGTTTGCTAGTGTCATTGTTATAAGGTCAAATGGTTTTAAAACTTCCCTACACACATTATATTATAAGGATTGTGTGATAATGTTAAAGTTACTCTTCTAAACAAAATTGAAAGGCTGCGAATCAAGTGTTCAATTTGATAGCGAAATCATTGTTTAGTGTATTGAATGGATGAGAATTATGGTTCAAGGCCACTACTAGGGAACCAGAACTATGATGAGAACTCTTTTAACTCGCTTAGAACCGGTTTCTTGTCCAAGCTTCCCGATAAGGTCCGTTTTGGCCTCGACTCTGAGTTTCCCTTTGAGTTTGATCATCATATCTCCACTACCACCCACTTAAGCCAAGGTCTTTCTCTCTCTCTCTCTCTCTCTCTCTCTCTCTATAAAATTTTAAATTGGAGTGATATATCAAATTAGTTCTTAAAATTATGATCACCGATCAATTTAATACTTAAAATTAGCAAAATGCCATTTTAGTGTTAAAATTACCAAATGACAATTATTTCAATACTTATATTACCATATGATTGTCGTTTTAATTGCTGAAATTACAAAAACAAGGACTAAAATGACTGATATTTAGTAATTTTAAGGTTTTAAATGATATTTTCATAATTTTTGCGACTAATTTTGATCTGTATTTATAGTTTCAAGGACTAATTTGATGGATTATTCTAAAAATTGTAACTTAATGTTTTTTAATCACTCACTAAAAGGCAGCCTTCACTAGAGTGAAAGTTGTTTGCACTCGATACATAATTAGATTAAGGAATGTACTATATCATGCTTATAAAATTAGTCACATCAATATAAGATTGTTTTATATTTTTCGTTACCCAGTTTTTCTCCCAGTCTCACTGAAACCCTGCATGAAGTGAAATCATATAAATCTAATTAACTCAAAATTTTGAAAATTTCGGTTTTCTTCCACGATAAACTGCTTCCAGTAGTAGTGGTTAAGGGTCACTTCAAAGTGTTGAAATTATGACATTGAGAACAAAGCTCTCAAAGTCAAGAATCAAAAGCCATGATAAAATGTCAAAAAATTGCATTAAATATTGTGGTAAAGGTCAAACACAGGAATTTCAATGGAGTGAATGGTGCTGGACGAATGCTAGTGCTGAATTTGAAAACGGAGTTTGAAGTCCTAAGCATGCAGGAAAATGAAACAATCTCTTAAGTACCAAGAAATACTTCTTTGATTATAAATGAAATCATGTTACTTGGAGAACATTTCCCTAACAGTGTTGTTGAATGAATGCATTAGAGAAAATCCGAGTACTACCTATGGGAGAAAAAATGATAGCTCAGCTTGAAGTTCTAGTAATGAAAGTAGATCATGGAGGGTGTCAATAGAGGTGGAGGGAGATGAATGAAAACTATAGGCTTAGCCATTAACAGGTCACTAGTTTGTCTATAGGTATGATTCACAATAGAACATTATGGGGCTATCTAATTCATTTAGATAACCCTGCTTGATGGGAAAAGACTTCGTTATTGTTTTTGTTGTTGTAGAGTTGTGGAATAAGTTCTTGACACTTCCAGATAAGTTTGAATCCAAAGTATTATTTTGCTAGAACAATTCAACAATCTTAGCAACATATCACATGCTGAATTGGTGTATACTGGACAAGCACAAGAGCAATGAAGGTTCATGAGACAACAATCATTAAAGATGCTTTTCCAAACAAATCAGCTAAAAAAGGAAGAAATAAGGGAAGTAGCAGTCAAGACAATTCAAATTAGAAGAATATTGTCCATGAAAGCATTGCAAGAAGTCCATAAACCTTGAAAAATATTGTTGGTGAAGGCCAGGTGCTATTTGTGACAATTGTTGAATCATTTCAAAATTTTGCATCAGTCTAGGTTATTTATTCTTTATTTTTTAACAGATAAACAAATTTGAACCTGTACCAAAACCTTATTTTGATCCAATAGTTATTAACTCACAGCTTTGTGTTATGTTTTCTGCCAGAGAAAACTATAGAATATTTAGTTTGATTACTTAATGAAAGAATTTTGAAACACAACGAAGGAATTGTTCTATTAGTTTTAGGATGCTTGATTGCTTTTTACTGTCATAGAACCATGATCTGCGCCCAAAGCACAAACTTCTCTTTTATTTGAAGTAACATGTTTCAATACTTATAGGAGAGAAAGAATACTATGAAAGGCAATTTGCTACTCTAAAATCATTTGAGGAAGTTGACTCCATAGTAACATCAGCGCAGCCTGATGTAGAAGACACTGAAAAACAAGGTCAACATGAACGAGCAATGAAGATTTCTAATTATGCAAATGCAACTTTATTGGTATTGAAGGTGATATTCATAAGATGTATCATTTTTGACTGAAACTTCGTGTAGCTGTTCTGTATAGAAGGCATGTTTTGAGCATCTTTTATGTAGCCACCAAGTTCAAATTACATTAATCATAACCTTATCTATCATGTTTTAATAGGATCCACTTCATGCTAGGGAAATTTCATCTGAAGTAGTTTCTAACAATTGATTACTTGAACTTGCTTTAGCATATGCTCCCTTAATGATTGTTGTTGTATATATCTTACTTGCTGATACTGCCTCAGCTAAATAACAATATTCATATACATATCTAGATTTATGTGACAATAAGGAGTGGGTCAATAGCTGTTGCAGCATCAACATTGGATTCTCTGCTTGACTTCATGGCTGGTGGCATACTCTGGTTCACTCACCTTTCAATGAAGGATATAAATGTGTACAAATACCCTATTGGAAAGTTGAGAGTGCAGCCAGTAGGCATAATTATCTTTGCGGCCGTCATGGCAACACTTGGTGCGTCAAATTGAGTTAGCTTATTCCTTACTTTCAAACTGTTCATTTATTGTTACTTAATGTCATTATCTAAAAGTATTTCCTCCCGTGAGGTGCATGCGATAAAGTTGTTGATGTTTCATTTAAATAATATTTTCATCGATATTTCATTTTCTCTTTTTCCTTTGATGAGTATGGCCGATGCAGATTGCAATGGTGAACTTCTTATGTGAAATTTTCGCACTTGTAACTTCAAAATTCAGTTGGGATAGACATACCTTACGACTTATTCAAATATTTACAAAGGAACATTTTATGCCTCAAATTTCTATGCTGTTGCTGTTGTGTTGAGATGACGACTAGTTGAAAGTTCGAATATTGTTAGTAAACTTTTAAGACTCCTTTTGTCAACAACCGTTGAAAAGAAATTTTAATGAGTAGAATTTTCTAATTTATGGAATTTGAGAATGGCATTCAGCTTTAGGTTATAGCTGATGATAAGTTAAGGCTGCTACTAATATCTCCAACCCATGCTCAAGTTTTTATGCTTAAACATAGCATTGTCTTTTGCTTTATAGAATTGACAGTATTTAGCTTTTCATCTCACTAGAATCTGAGAACTTGAACCTAATTTTGTTCCATATTTAAGCCTCCATTAAAAGGGGTTTCCTAAAACTTGTGTGGTTTAGCATTTTAGTTTTTACAATTGCTCATAGAGTAACTCAAAAGCTTTTATATATTGAGATGTAATAGTTAATTAATTTCAGATTTTTAGTTACTCTCTTAGAGGAGAGGACATGAGGCAAGGCACAGATTCATTTGGAAACATGAACTAAATAGATTAACATATAATCAATGCATTTTGCTACAGGCCTTCAGGTATTAATCACGGCTGTAGAACAACTAATAGAAAATAATCCTTCTGAGAAGATGTCTTATGATCAACTAGTATGGTTGTACTCTATTATGATACTTGCAACTGTGGTGAAGCTTGCACTCTGGCTTTATTGTAGAAGCTCAGGAAACAAAATTGTCCGTGCCTATGCCGATGTAAGTGTCCTCTTTCAATAACAAACTGCTTCATAAATTGAGTCAATAGACTGTTGCAACATCTTACAGATGCCAATTTTCAGGATCACCACTTTGATGTTGTAACAAATGTAGTTGGATTAGTGGCAGCTGTTCTTGGTGATAAATTTTACTGGTGGATTGACCCAGTTGGTGCTATTTTACTTGCAATTTACACTATTATAAATTGGTCTTGCACTGTGATGGAAAATGCAGGTAATTCAGTTACTATATCCGTATCAAAATTCCTAGTAGTTAAATGATGAAAAAGTAACGCCTTTGAAAGAAAAAGAGAAACTATAAAATTCTCAGTCCTTACATGTTCTCCTCTTATTCTAATTGGCTTTACCCATTCTCTTCAGTGTCAGTCAAAGTCAAATACTTCCTAAATTTTATGCTATCAAAGGATTCTTTTTCCATACAGAAAAATAAAGAAATTTTTTTGGGTTGGCTAAGATCAGCCTCACCTTCTTTTAATTGCCTTATATTGGATGGATGCAAAATTGTTTGTGGAGGTTTTTAGTTTGATGACTTCCTATGCAGTTGCACTAGTGGGACAATCTGCACCACCTGAAGTTCTACAGAAGCTGACATACCTTGTCATAATGCATTCTCAAATTAAGCGCATTGACACTGTCCGCGCCTACACGTTTGGCGTTCTATATTTTGTGGAGGTATGTATACAAAGCAAATTTCTAGCAGTATTATTTATCATTAGACTGTAACCTTACAATACTTGTTATTTAGTTTGACCTTCTAATGAAAGATACTTGGAAAAACCTAACCTTACCTACCCATCCCCTCCCCTTTTCTGTAGTACTTAAAAGCAAATTATTTCTGTTCATACTTCAGATAAAACATTCACCCTGAGAAATTCATTTCACATCCAATTTGACCCTGAAATATTTTAACAAGTGTCTGGTGGGATAAAATGAACAACAATAATAAACAAAACAGTTAAACAAACAAGAAGGAAAAAACTCTTGATCAATGCTGTCCATGCTTTTCTTATTTTTCTAGTTTCTTCCATGTATATAACACGAGAAAATGTGTTAAAAATTAAACTTTAAACGTGTAGAAGTAAAGTTGATGTATAGATTCTACTATCATGAATCATAAATTTTAAAGGGTAGGAAGTATGCCATGACCAAGAAAAGATGTTATAATTTTGGTTCCATTGGCAATAGGTTGACATTGAGCTGCCAGAGGATTTACCCTTAAAAGAAGCGCATGCAATCGGAGAGAGCCTACAGATAAAGCTGGAGAAACTTCCAGAAGTTGAGAGGGCATTTGTTCATCTAGACTTTGAATGTGATCACAAACCAGAGCACTCGGTTCTTAGCAAACTACCAGACAGTTAGCCAAGTACATTTGAAGTCCATGTATATCAAGTGTAAACTTTTCCACTACTTTAACCTTCATTTATGGTTTGTTCATAAGAATGAAATATCAGTATATAGTTATGAGCTTATATGGAAAATTGAAAATCTAAATTTTTAATAAAAAATGAATAAAAGTTTCATTTTATTAAGTTTGATACGTAATGTTATTTAATTTTATATATACCTATATTTGTATAAAGGCAAATGACCCTGTCTTACAAATGACAATCTTGGTGACCTTTTTGCCTCAACTTGTGTTGAACATGCAAAGCTCATGCACCCAGTGTAGTATTTGTTGCATCTAACTTAAATATGCAATTTTTAAAATAATAGAATGACAATAAAAAGAATGAACACGTTACATGGTTCTATAATTAATTTAAAAAATATTTTAAAATAAACAATAAATTATTTATAAAAGGAATAAACATATAACACATATTTTATTGTAAAAATATATATTAAATATTTTTAAAATACCAAAACAAAATCATTTAATGATAACAAAGATAGAGATCCTCTAGTTGTTTCCATTTCTATCATCAATCAACACAACATAATCGAATAATAATATAAGCAAAAAAATCATGAAATAAAAGTAAAAGTATATATTATTGAATGATAACATGAATGAAAAAAAAAATTATTGATGAACAAAATATTATTGAAAGAACAACAAAAAGGAGTAAAAAATTATTAAAAAGAAAGAAAAATTTAATGCAACATACTTGTTGCTTGGGAGTTTTTTTTTTTTTTTTTTAATATATGAACATTGGATGACAGAATGAAAAAAAAAAATAGAGAAGTAAACATATATATAAAAGAGAATAAAAAGAGAAAGAAGGATAATAAAAAGAAAAATAAAAATCTTACCTTTAAAAACGTTTTATTGATGGATAATGGAAAGATAGAAAGTTAAATTGTAGAGAAGAAGGAGAGTAGTGATCATTTTGTTCTGAAGGAGGAGATCTTTGAACGGAGGAAACAACAATGGCAAATTTAAAAGCATTGCAAATATGACTGTTATTATTATTAATAAAATAATAACATTTATTTAATAATTTGTAAGTTAAGTTGTAGTAATGTATTTCGTCGTACATTCATTTAATAATGAAATATTATTATTATTTTTAAATTTTAAATCAGTGACAATGATAATAATGATTAGTTAAGAAGGAGGTAAAGTTTTGAAGGAAAATCAAATGAAAAAGAATAGAAGACCTGTCTTTTTCCATCACTTGATTATCTCTCTTTTATATTATTCTAGATAAATAAATTAAGTTAACATATGTAGATACAAGAGAAAAACAGCAAACTAGTAATTGAGGGATCATATATTTTTTTGAGGGAATTATTTGAATTATTTTTTAAAATGTGGAAGCAAAAAAAAATTGTAATTTTTTAGACTAAAACCTTATTTTAATAAAGGAATATATTTAAATTTAAATATTGAAATGAATTGGAACATAATTTCTTCTACAGGAAAAAAATGAATTGAGAAGAGTGATTTTTTTTTTTTACAGAAAAAATTTTACGTGAGTCTCCTAAATCATAAATATTAATAGTTTTCGTTTACTGAATAGCTCAAATAATGTTTTTATAAAGTTAAAATTAAAATAATTCAGGATTATAATTAAAAAAAAAATACATATTTATTATTTACAATTTTTTTTTTCCATTTTCTAGCCGTTAGGCCTGCATGGGTAAACTAGGCAACGACAATAAGATGTTTGAAAATCGAATTGCAACCTTTTACAGCGTGGAGGGGTTGCTCAAGCACAACGCCTTCTTCTCCTGATCTTCTTTCTCTAATTATCCGTAATAACGCACAACCCTTCTTCTCTGCTTTCCCCAATTTTCTTGCATTTCTTCGTTCGGGTTCTGTGTCTGGGGAATATTAAAAACCCCTTTCTTCACAAAACTAATTTTTGTGGACCCATTTTGGTTATGCTACTGTTACCGATTGTCCTAGAGAAAAAAATGAAATGGGAAAAGTAAAAAGTTTTCAACTTTTGTCTTCTAAGACATGCCTTTGAAAAACATTTCACATTTTTCATTTCTATTGGATAATAGTTAGTGAGGTATATGTATTTGACCAAGTAAGTTTATAGGTTAATCTGATATCAGAGAAAGACTCATTTTAATCCATTTTATGCACTTGTAGATGGCAAAGGGTCGCACCAACAATAAATACGAAGAGGCTCGAAAACAAAGACTTGAAGAAAACAAGAGGAGGTTTGAGGTAATTTAGCATTTTGTTATAGATAATAATATAAGTCGCCATTCTTATATCTTTGTTTATAACTCCGATTAAACTTTGTGAACATCACTATGATGTATGCATGTATAAAGACTTTGATATTGTTTTAGATATGTCTATTTTTTTTCTCGCTTGTAAATGTTGGTATATCATGGTGTTTTTTACTGTTTTAATTTTGATGATTGTTTGATAATTATATACTTTGTTTCACTTTTTGCTACCAAGGATTTAGGAATTTCGAGGATTTCAAAAAATTTGACCGAAATCACAAGTTCTCCAAAGAAGACACAGGTAAACTTGTTTTTTATTTGGTTTTACTCTGCAAAGAACCAGGATTTGATTGACTTATTTCTCTCCCTTTCCCTGTGCAGCATCATCTTCGTAAATTGAAATCCAAGATTAATGGTGTAGTGGAACCTAGGCGTTCGTCTCGCGTACGAAACCCAATTTGTTCATACCATGAAGATGTAAGTAATATTATATTTCAAATACCATAATGTAGAATCAAACAGCAACTTGAGTTGGATAATGGAATATCTTAAGCTAGTATGATTGGATAAAACTTGTATACTAGGCATCTGTGCTGGAATTGGTTTTCTCTTTGTTGGTAAAATCTGCACACATCAATGATGGATGACGGGAATACACACAAAACATCACAAAGAAATGACTGCAGACACAGAATTTACAGGGTTTGGCCCCGTTTTCTTATGTCTATGTAACAAAATAGTCACAATCACAAAATGAAATTACAAGTTCTGTGTAAACTTGAAAAACTCATTGTAAGGTGTGTATCACCCTATAAAGCTAAATACCTCAATAAAGGGTTAACAATACTCATAAGAGACAGTGAGATACTTTGCAGCACCATTCTGTTAGGTCCAGCCAAATAAATGCAAAGGTTGAAATTTTCATCAACCTTGAAAACGTAGATGGAGGTGCAATTATTAGCTGGGCTATAACTTGCTTGTGGTGCAATAAATTTACCAAATGGAAAATGTGACGTGCCACATTTTTTTATGGATTCACATAACTTTTTTTATCTCTATCTGTCAATAGATGTTTTTGATCGATGAAGGAGGGCATCGAGCACAAGCAGAAAAAACAAATCCTCTTATGTGAAATTAGAGAAAAATGGAGTGTGTAAATTTTGAGGGTGAGAAAAATACATTGGGTTTAGGCATCAATTTTGTTATTCCTTAGTATTGCAAAATTGTAGTATTTGAATAACAGTGGGTCTTATTGAAAAACACTATATTTTTGTATCTCCTGTGTAAAGAGAGCAAAAAGGATATTCTTATTATTTCTTGATATATTGAAATAATTTTTGGAGTTTGTCCTGTAATATTTTCCTAAATATTAAAGGGTTTTTCAAATAAAATATTAATTTTTCTTTTTTATGCTTAATACTGGTATGTTGTTAGATATAATTTTATTACATTGGAATTGTCATTCTTCATTATCGTTTTTGAAATTTTAGTTTACACTCACTATGCTTGTTGAGCCCAATACGCTCTCTCAATGGTTGGCAATTGGATTGGGTCCTCATTCTTTCAAAGGTGAACATAGATTTTCTCTAGGGTCAAATATGGCTTCCAAGAGCATCTACGAATGGGAACCACCAATTTAGAAGAACCCAAGAATTCTTCCTGTTCTTGGAAATTTTAATAGCTACTAAAATGTTTCATAAATATATTTTTTAAAAGATAATTTCTATGGTGCCTTGAAAATTAAGAGAACATTTTATGCCTTTCATATGTGAACAACCATAACCGTTAATATTATATTAAATAGGTATAATAGATAGTAGGAAGTTAGTGGTCCATCTTAGAAAAACATAAAAGTCCTTTTAATCTTTAAGATATTAAAACAATCATAATCGTCGATTTAAGTAGGGTATCAGATGCCCTTTCAAGTTTATGGGCACGGTAGCAAACACCTTTTTAAAGACCATGGATGATAATGAGCACCCATATTTGGTTCTCCAATGTTGGGTAATTTTAGAAAAATAATCAATAATTTTTGTCTCTAAAGATAATGTATCACGTGCAATTCATTTCCAATGTATGTGTTAGTCTAGTAGAAAATTTATACTTGATAGTGTGTATATTTCTTTCAATCATAGGGGAGCATAAACCTTCCACCATTACGAAAGAGGTCAAGGTCAAATTCTTCATCTTGGGGAAGGTGGTTAATTACTTACTTAATCACTTTTCTCTATTGCTAATGAAATATAATAACATGGTTATGGGATGCTCAGTTATGCTGCAAGGCCACTAGATGAAATCAAAGAAGCAACAAAAGAGGAAAGAGTTTGTGCTTTGGAGGCTGCAGAGGCACTCCAAAACAATTTGAAGTCTTCAAATCCATCATTTGTCAAGTCAATGGTTCGGTCTCATGTTTATAGCTGCTTTTGGTTGGTAGGTAGCAATTCAGAAAATTTATCTATGTTGACTTCACATAATTTGCTAGCTCTTTTTCTTTTGTTTAGATTTTTAATAAATGTAACATGCTATTCTTCCTAATTTATTATTTTCTCTTTATTCTGCCAGGGTCTTCCTTCTAAATTTTGTGAGGAACACCTCCCAAAAACTGTGTATGACATGATTTTAGAAGATGAAAATGGCTCTGAATATGAGGCTATTTACATTGGCAAAAGATGTGGGCTTAGTGGTGGCTGGAGAGCATTTGCACTGGATCATAAATTGGATGATGGTGATGCACTTGTTTTTGAATTGATTGAAGCTGCAAGATTTAAGGTAATATATTTAACCAATTCCCTTGTAACTCTATTTTAACCTGTAAGTTCTAAAGTTGTTATACTTTATCATCATCAATTATAGAGTAACTAAGGGTGTGTTTGGACAAAAAATTTAATTAATTGCTTATTTTATGAACCGAACATGACTTCATACCATAAATTTTGTTATGAAACCTATTGAAATAAATAAAAAAATATTATAGGTGCCAAAGTCATTTTCATAAGATCAAATACCATTTGTAGAAGTTCTTTCAAATGCTCCCTAAAAAATTTAGCTTGGTAAAAATGTCTATGGTAGTTAAATTGGGAGTTGAATTGTAAAATTTTGGAATTTTACATTTTTGAAGGCCCGAGTTTCAAATTGCAATAAAATTGGGAGTTAAATTGTAAAATCAAGATTTCAGATTGATTTCATGAAATTCTAGATTCAGATCTGGATCATGGCCCAGTTTGATCATAGCTTGATGGATATGGCTCAATTTTGAATGACTTGACTTAAATTTCTATTCTAACCCTAAGTCCCTACATCATAACTGAGTTATGTCTCCTTTTGTTTTTGCTCGAACCCTAGTTGACCTTTGATGACCTCAACCAGTTCAACGGCCCACCTAGTCTGCAGCCAAGTCAGCAGGGTGCAACTGCGTCTTGTCCGACTGTGATTGTCTTTTGCTCCAATCTTTGGATGCACTAAGTCATACTTTTGTCATCTTTAAGTGAATGAAGCATTGTATCTATATGCATGCTTCAATCATGACAAACAATAGAGGTTTTTTCTCAAGGTATAAACATTTCAGGTGAATTTTTCTTAAATTGGCTTCTTTAGGAAAGCCTCTTATAGTTGGTTTGCTAAGGTGACATGCTTCACATATGGACTTCCTGGAATTAAAATACTGGTTACTCATGAGGAAATGCCAAGCTACTAACTAGTAGCTCTATTGTTCTCTTTCCTTCCGGGAAAATGGGCACAGTGGTAAAGTCCTTAATTTGTTTGATTTGGAACAGTGGCCTTGTTTTCTGTCCTGGCACCTAAGCTCACAATTTTAACTGCTTGTGTAATAGTGATTAGTCCCGGGGGTCATTCACTTGTTTCATAGGAAGTTAAGATTATAGCTTGCAATATCAATGATGAATGCTCTGTTCCATAGCTCTCTTCAACACCAAATAAGGCTAGATTGATTTGTCAACACCAATTAGTGTGAACAAGTTAATTGAAGAGGCTTCATTTTTTTTTAATTGACTTCTTTAGAAAATCATCTAAGGGTCTGTTTGAAAGAGCTTATGAGCTGCTTATAGAAAACAACTTATGACTCATTATTTTAATAAGCTATTTTTAGCTTAATAAATTTTATCATTAAATTTATAGTACAAGTTATCATTTAAAATAGTTTATTGAATAAGTGCACAAATCAGCAGTGTACCCAAACGCTTCACATAATTGATGGAGAACATCCCTTGATATTCTTGTCAGGCTTTGAATTTTATGAAATGCTAGAGCCAAAGTCTCATGTTCCAAGACATGTTTCATTTGTCTTGAAATTTAAAATGAGAATTATGCATTCAATTTTCTATTTATTTGAGAAACACATGCTGAGTTTAGTATGTTAACTAAAATGTCTCAGTTCCTCTATGTTTTTTAATAGATAATATATTAAAAATAACTAATGAACCTTTCATGTTATTACTGCAGATTTATATTGTTAGAGCATTTTCAGATTCAGTTGAAGAAGAGGAGGGAAAGGATATTTTAGAGGAAGAAGGAAATATGCATGCAACCAAAACACCAAAAACTGCCAGTAATCGTGAATCAAGATCCAACAAGACAAAAAAGAGAAAGCAGGCCATTGTATATGAAACTAAGGAATCAGAGAGTGCTCAGGAACGTCTACCAGAGAGTAGGACAGACAAAGAAGTCAAACCACGAGGGGTAAATCCAACTAAGAAAACTAAATCTAAACTTTCTGCTACTGCTGAGTCAAAAGGGGAAGCACAAAATAAAGCTGAGAAACCAAAGGCATCTGTAAAACTGTCAAACAAGACAAGGAAGTCAAAAGAAGGCAAGAAGAATGGATTTATTCAGGAAGCTGATAGCAAGTTAGAGAAAGTTGAACCGATTGAGAAAGGAAGCAAAAGTGTGTCACAAAAACCTATAAAAAAGCCAGCTCCGAAGTATTTTAGAAAGAGAGCATAGTAATTGTAGCTAATGACTGGTAAGATATTGTGAAATGCTGATGTGTATCTATCTGAAAGCATGTATGAAATAGAAGTGGACAATATTTTTTGTTGCGAATTAGTGTATCATTAGTGGATGTGTTATAAAACATCGAAAGATAATGGGTAAGTTTCTCTTTCTCTCTTGTTAGGGGTATATTGCACTTTGATATTTATCAATGAGTATATGGTAGTTGATTGAATTTATGTTATGGTTTTATTACTGTTGCTTGTACAAAAGATGGTTGAAACAATTACATGAAAATTTGCATTAGCTACTAAGAAGTGTTATATAGTGTTGGGATTGATAAAAATAGTACATCTTGAAAATTCCACATTGTTTAAGGTATGTTGGAAGAAGTCTCATATCGCCTGGGATGAACAAGAGAGTGGTGAACAAGGCTATATAATGGACTTGAATCCATAGTATTAAGGTATCCCAGTCAAAAATACTTTAAGCTTGTATTTGACTTTTTTTATGCTCTTATATTAGAGTGTTGTGAGGTTTAGTTTAATTACTTATTTTGGAGAGTGTGAGTGTAATTGGAGCAAGGGAGAATAGTTTATGCTTTGTAAAATTTTCATATAGTATCAACAATTGTAGTTTTTTCTCCGGTTTTTGGATTTTTCACGTTATATTTTTGTGTTATTGTTTTTATCTTATTTCTCTATTAGAAAGATAATTCTCAAGGAGTAAAGGTAATTTTCTTCTTTTTCCAACAATGGTATCAGAGCTTATGGTTCGGTAGGATATTCTTAGTATGCTTTGTGGTTACAGCTTAGTCTGATCTTCTACATCAGAAAAGGTTAATTCCTTGTTGGAGAATTATCCTTAGTCGTTGAAGTGCTACAATGTCATTCCCAAGTGTTGTCAGATGTAATATAGAGAAATTTGATGGAATGATCAATTTTGGCTTGTGGCAAAAACAAGTCAAGGATGTGCTGATACAATCTGGATTACACAAGGCGTGGAAAGGAAAGACTTCCAACACGAAGGAAGAGAAGTGGGAGGAACTAGATTTGAGAGTTGCAAGTGCAATTCGCTTGTGTCTAGCTAAGAATGTTCTTACAAACGTGCAGAAGATGTCGACAGCTAAGGAACTTTGGGAGAAACTCGAAGGCTTATATCAAGCAAAATCCATCTCAAATTGACTGTTATTGAAGGAGTAATTTCATAATTTACGCATTGATGTTGATATGAAAGTCTCTGATCATCTTAGTAAACTTAATGAGATTGTCTCTGAATTAGAGGCTATTGTAGTCAAGATTGAAGATGAAGATATAGCATTAAGACTCATTTGGTCTCTTCCGTCTTCCTATGATAAAGTTGCTAATAAGATTCTTTATGAAGAAAAAAGAATAAAAAGTGACGAGAGTATGGCAACAAACTCAGTGATGGTTGTTAGAAGTGAGCTTAACGGGAAGAAGAACCATAGAAACACTATGGTATGCTAGAAATGTGGAAAGTCTGGGCATGTTAAGAAAAATTGTCCAAGTGGAGGAGCATTGAAAAGAAACTCTGAGATAGATGCTTCGACTGTCTCTCTCATTTCGGGGTGTGTGGTAATTGTCCACGGGCATTGGCTAACATTGATACAAGGTGTGCGATAAGTGTACATAAGCATTAATGCAGGATGTGTGGTGAAATTTTTTTTTTGGAGTGGTTTAATTCCAAGTGAGTATATTCTTTATGGTGGAGTATGATTGTCGGTATAGATAATGATTACTAGTATAGGCAATGAAAATAGAAGATGTGTATATTTTAATCATGGTGGAGATTATTGGGATTAATAAAAATAGTATATCTTGAAAATCTCACATTGTTCAAGGTATGTTGGAAGAAGTCTCACATCGTCTGAGATGAACAAGGGAGTGAGTGAACAAGGCTATATAATAGACTTGAGTTCATGATATCAAGGCACCCTAGTCAAAAACACTTTAAGTTTGTATTTGACTTTTCTTATACTTTTGTATTAGAGTATTGTGAGGTTTAGTTTAATTATTTGCTTTGGAGAGTGTTGATGTGATTGGGGCAAGGGAAAATAGTTTATGCGTTGTAAAATTTTCACATAGTATCATTCTCTGGTTGTAAAATGTCAACGACCGTGGTTTTTTCTTTGATTTTTGGAGTTTCCACATTATATTCTTATGTGATTATTTTTTTCTTATTTCTTTGTTAGAAGGGTAATTCTTTAGGGACATATAAACTACAATAGAGTTACAAGATGAATATATAACTGAGAACAAACTTGAACACCACTTAACCTGTTGTTTTGCAATCTGAAATCACTGAATTCACTAAGTTGCTGTTTTTTTTTTCTATTGCACTTTTGATCATTCTAATTTAGACTGCAATTTTGGTTTCTTAAATGGTAATGTCTAGAGTGCCTTATAAATTAAGAGGGTATTTTATACTTCCTCGCACGTGGAATAATTATGACTATTAATTTTGCATTAATAAATAATAGTGTTAGTATTTTATTTAAAAAAGATGTAAATATTTTTTAATCTCCACGATATTAGAAGAATTATCGTCATTAATTTAAAGAATATATAATATCCTTTCAAATTTATGGATTAAATTCCTTAAATTAGTTTTGAGAGCTTGCTAAAATTAGTGTGAGCATAGATTAAAATTCTTATGGCAACTAATTAATGATAATTCTAATTGAATAAAGATTGTATACCACAACAGTATTAAAACTAAAAGGCGTAATTATATTTTTTTATCCTTTTGTTTGAAGTAAGAAAAATTTTCTAAGTTACAAAATTATAGTGAAGGATTTACTTTTTCAGGAGTTTTCAGAGTCTAGAGAAGAGCCTTTGCGTGCTAGAAAATTGTAAGGAATCATGAAGAGCCTTATTCTTCATCAAAGAGAGAAACCATATTTCGAGTAGTTTTGAAGGAACATAAAGCAGTTCATTGTTGCTTGAAAAATAGTATTGGCAAGAAATTATTTAAAGTCTACAAGACTGGAGGTCTTCCGGGAACCATATTTCAAGGAGTTTTCAAGTCTCTGAGATCCAAAATTGTTTGAAAACAGGACTAAAAGGAAAATACTACAATACTAGAGGCTTTCCAAGGAATTTTGAAGAGTTTTCAAGTTCCTCACACCCAAAATCCAAAATTACTTGAAAAATAGGACTAATAAGAAATTCTAAGTCCACAAGATTGAATGTCTTTTCGAGGAGTTTTTAGAAGATTTGTAAGTCTTTGACACCCAGAATTTGTCGAAAAACAGGAAGTGGTTAGAAAATATTCTAAGTTCACAAACTTGACTAAGTTTCAAATTCCCTTCAGAATTGCTCGAAAAATAGGAAATGATCAAAAAATATTTTAAGTCCACAAACCTGGTTGAGTTCCATATTTCCTACAGAATTGCTCGAAAAACAGGAGTGAGCAGAGGAAATGTTCTAAGGCCACGAGACCAAAAGAGCTTTCAAGATTCTCCAGAATTAGTTAAAAAATAAAAATGGAGGAGAAATTATTCTAAGTTCATAATGCTAAATGTGCCTCTTAGATTTCTCTCAGAAACGTTCGAAAAATAGAAAAATAAAAGGAAAATATTATAAGTTCATAAGAGTCATGATAAGACTAAAAAATGATTACAAGGCTCAGAAGTAATTACCTGCAGTTACCACCAGATAAAGGTTCAACAAACATGAAGAAATATCATGGGCGATAGTAATTATGGAAGAAGCTCCAACTGACAGCACAATTATAAGCTATAATGGATTATGGTAGCAGCAGTTGAAGGCAAACACGTATGGAAGGCAGTTGCTAAGAAGTGCCCGCAAAAGAAGGAGAACGACAGTGGTCCTCCTACCTATAAATACTTCAAAATTTCATTTTACCACAGACGACTTTTTTGCACTCAGATATCGCACTTAAAATTTTTTTGGATGCTGAAAACCTGCACCGCACCAGATATTAGCTACAAGGAGATATATAGTTGTTGCTTGTCATTGTTAGGAGTCGTAAGTTTATTTTCATGTATTATTTACATTTCTGTATTCACTTTTAGTTTGCTTTGTTTTGCTTTCCGTTTTTGCAATTTAGTTCTTGTTTAAGCAAGTTTTCTGTAAAAACTCAAATGTTTTATGTTGTTACTGTTTATTTTTCTTGCTCATTAATTTATTGCACGACGTCTATTTAATCATTTTAATTATAACACACTTAAAAGAGCCCGAAAGGACTTAAATTCAGTCTCCAGATTACTCTTGGATTATTTGTTTACAAACTGTCATTTTTCATCGTAAACGCCTATAAAAGTAATATTTCTTGTGACAAGTCCTAATAAAGTTTTGTGTTAGGGTTTAGTTCTAATCATTATTACATTATTTAATATTTTAATATATTTTTAAAAACTAATATTTACAAATAAGTTTTTGAAGATATTTTAAATATTTATAAAAAAGTCTCATGAAATCATAATCTCCATTCTTTTCTTGTTAAAGGTTCCAAAAATTATTTTTGTAAACATTTAAATTATGTTCAATTACTTGTTTGTAAATATTAATTTTAAATAAAAATATTAAAAATTAAATAATATAACAATAATGAGTTAGATTTTTTATTATCTAGCTAATCACATGATGAGTTGACTGGAGAAACTAAATCTTGACTTTTAAAATAATTTAGAAACTGAATTCTAACAAACAAAAAAAAAACTTAAAATACTTACAAAATATGGACAACTTTTATAATAACAAAAAATATAATTAAAACAAAATGAAAAGAACATTTATATGAAAAAAAATCTTTCAATACTAAGAAAAATAAAATTCAAGGGACAAATTCTGAAAAATTTCCACCATGTTAAGAAATAATCACACTATCTAGAGTTATTTTTATAGTTTACATAAAAGATATAAAATATAGTGTTTTTTAATAAGACTTATTTTTATTCAAATATTACAAATGTTAAAGTTATAGAAATGATATCTAATCTGGTTTATTCTTCTCAAACACGATTTTTCTTTCTCAAACTATTGTATTCCATAATATATATAAAAAAAAAAAGAATCTTCTTACACCAGTGTAAGTCTAAAAATTCTTACAACCAATTTGAACCTTTTATTTAACTAAAATTTAATAGTTATTAAAGTAATAAATTATAACCCATTAGATTTAAGTTAAATGAAAGGCTCAAATTAGGTGTAAGAGTTTTTAGACTTACACCGGCATAAGAAAATCATGTCCCATCTAAAAATATTTTTTTACTTTGGATCTATGTTTTCTCCTATTTTCAAAACTTCTACTTAAATTGGCAATTTTATTGTAAACTAGCCATGGCCTTGCTATCATTTTCACAATTTGGCAAAATTTCAACCATTACATTTAATTTTAGGTGGAAATACTATCTTAAGTACACCCTGGTCTACTTATTTCTTATTTTTAAAATTATGCAAATTTTAATTTTTACTTAAAATCTTTAAATTTAATTTTTATTGAGCCCAATGATATCATACTATTTATGTAACTGATTTATCTAATAAGATAAAATTTTATTATTATAAAAATCTCAAATTATTATTATTTTTTATTGAAATATATAGGGATTTTTTTTATATAATTAAGATATGAAGTAAATTTTAAAAGTTTAGTAGTAAGAAATATAATGGAAACATAATAAAATTTTAAAAAAATTATAAGATGTAAGATTAGGATTAAAGACAAAATATTTTTGATTTTTTTAAATTTTTGGTAAAAAAAAATTTAATATTTTAGTTAGTGAATATTAGGTAAAAGAAAATTATTTCTGAAGTATAAAAGTAGAGAAACATAAAAGATTAGAAAAAGAAAAAAAAAAGACAGAAAAGACTAAAAGCTTGTTTATTTTATATTTTTAAAAACAATTTTTTCTTTTTAAAAGTTAAAAAATATTTGTTAAAATAATTTTATTTTTATTTTTATTTTTAAAAATAATTTTAAAATATAAATTTTAAAAATTAAAAACCAAAACAAAGAGAAATAAGATATAAAATTACAATGTCTCTTTTTTTAATAGACTCAAAAACTCGTGACCATGATTATAGTTTTTATTTGGTCCAGTATTGCCTTCTTTTATAATAGTGATTTAAATTGACAGAATTATTGATAAATTTTTGGGAAGTACATCAAATCGTTAAAGTAACAAAATAGATTTATCATCTACAGGGATTAATGTCAAATACCAAACTACAAAAATATTAGTAATTGAGTCAAAAATAGAGTAGAATTATAAACCAAAAAATTAAATAAAGTGCAAAATATAAAAGCATAAGTGCTGAAAAATTTAATTAATTATAGAATTAAAAATTCAGATGGAAAGGACTGATTATAAATAAAACTAAATTGCATAATATAACTAAATAAGATAATGAAACTGAGTTGTAAATTAATTAAGAAGTAGATTGAGTTCAAAATTTCTTATCCTTTTTTTCTTGCATAAAATACGTATATAACCTAAAATACAGCTCAATCTAATAATCAAGTCTTCTAAAATATTTAATCTCAATTTCTTGGTTAATTTATTCTAGAACGAATTTAGCTTTCCTAATCCCTTAGATAAACCCCAAAATGCTCAGTATTAAGATTAAACCTAAATGAGATTAAAACCTAAATGACCACATTATTATCAACTTTTATCCTTAAATAATTTATAACAAGCATTTTGATCTTAGTTTAAGAAAGTTTACAATTTCTTAATCATAAATTTCTTTTCATCAACCCCAAATACATAAAACAGAGAAACATTAAGTTTATAATCAAAAGTGTTAGATTAAAGTTGATAAATTGAGTTACATTTAGTGCTTAGTTCATTGTAATGGGTAAAAGAATAAATTTATCCTTACTCAATCCCAAAGAAATTAGCAAAATATAATAGAAATAAAGAAAAAGAAACTGAAATATATTGCAGAAAAAAAATGGTATTCAACAAAAAGAGCTTACAGCAGAATATAAAATGTAAGAAACTACTGCTCCATTATAAAACTACGAGAAAGAAGGAATGTAACCCCACCTCAAAATCTCATAAAAAAGAAAGGAGAAAATATCCTAACTGACGTTGTTACATAAAACTGTACAAAAACTTAAAATTTTGCATCTCTAAAATGTAATAACAGATGTAATAAAGCTGTCTTTTTTTTTCAGAAAATTTTATTTTTATATGCTTTGTCAGCATTATGTCTCCACAATCGGAAGTTTATGTGCCCACAAATGTGTCCAGCATTAGTTCAATCCTTCGCTTCAATTTCAATTGCCAATTTTTTTCTAATCCCTTCAAAATTCAAATGCCAACCATTAATATTTAAATAATTAATCAAATTTCCAGCAATCATATATTTCATTGAATATTCCAATTAATTGCACCAACTTATAGATTTAATTCAATGAAATGAGCCATAAGCCTTTTAATTTTCTATATGAGTCAATAACTCATCAATTATGCACACAGTAATATTGCTAAATAAAATAAAAAATTGTTTCTTGACAAATCTATTCCAACGTATAGAGATAAATCATGTCTAAACAAAGTTGCATTGTCAATATCAGGATACAGATATTTGTAGTTTTGGCACGAACAACATGTTGTAGCGTGTTTTTTTTTAAGTGAAATTTTTTTCATCTAAACAAAAATTACTTTTCCAGCTTATTTCATTTAAACAAATTTTTGAGTTTAAGAGAGAAAATTTTCATTTAAAGCAAAAACGCACTCCATGCTGCAGTTTGTACCAAAATTGCAGAGGATCTATCCATACTAGACCTGCCTCATGCGCTACCAGCTAACATTTTTGCACCCTTATTGTAGCATTGGATTAACAAAGCTGATAAAGAAAAATATTTAAATTTGTATACAAATTACAAACTTATTATCGATCAGAAGTGCCTAGAAAGAACAACTGCCTCTAGTTTTCCGGTAAAGACTAGCATGGATTCAATTGTAAGAGTTGCAACAATAAGAAAAGTGAGAATAACAAGAGTAGTAAAATAGAGCAAGTATAGATGTTCCCACCTTAAAGCCTTACCAAAGGACTTTATTAATTGAGCAAAGTTTGACTATCAACTTCATAATAAACTATTTTAATTTTACTCAACATTGTAATCCAAAGCATAGAAATTATGCCCAGAAAAAAAATAGTTTTTCTAACTTATACAACATTGCACATAATAAAAACCTATATATAGTAAGTTTTTATTGAAAAATATACAATTCAATGCATTGATACTATTCTACGAAACAAACACTGCATAAGGAAGAAGAGTCGAGGTGTCCAACACAGACATGACACCGACACCCCTGGACACTCCTCGGACACGTCTCTGACACTTTTTTATAAGTATCCAAAAATTAAAATGCTTTTTTTAGTTGCGACACGGTGCAGATTCGGCGGTGACACAGCTGTGGATGGAAGACACGATTCCAAAGTGGCTCATTCCAAAAAAAAAAATTTAAAATAAAAAAAGTTAAAAGTTAAAAATGTTAAAAAATCATTAAAACTCCCTCTTTTCTTCTTATTTTTTCTTCTGCATGTTTGCTTTCTATTCTTGTGTTGAGTTTTTCTACACATTATTCTCATCCTCCACTTGCTATTTAAGTTTTTTCATCACTCCTCATCATTCTTTCTTCAAGCAACATTAATTTTTGTTGTTTTTAGCAGTAAAGTTTTTTTGTTTTTCTATTCATCTTTGTTTCATTTTCTTATTTCTATTCAGTATTCCGTTTTCATTTGTGTTTCGGTTTCGGTTTCCTTTTCTTTTTTTGAAGGTTTATATTATGTTCAACTGTTTTATTTTTCTGATTTTTAATTATATATATATTTTTTTATATTTATATATAAGCAGTATTTCGATGTTTTATATTTTAGACATTAGACCGGTATCCGTGTCGTGTCCAGTGTCAATGTCGGAGTCAGTGCTTCATAGATACTATTAAATGCTAATTTCCAACGGAAACTTACAAACTTAATGATTTCTTATTATGTGCAAGGTTAAAAAAATTGCATAAAAAAAGGACATGGGAATTTCACCTGAGTATAGGTATACATTAAGCTCTTGGAGAGTATTTAGGGCAATTCTCTATGGTCCGTTTGACATGATGTTTTAACTTAAATCCATGGTGAATGTCTTTGAAATTCAGCAAACTTTTGAGTATTATAAATCTCAGGTTCTGTAGCAGTGGTTGTTCTCCATCCTTATTAGTCCCTTCTTGACCTTCTTCATCAGCTTCATGTTCAAAATCAAAAACCTTCTCTAATTGAGAGCACTCTTTTATTTCCAAATAGTCAAGACTGGGAAAATGACCAGCCATTAAATTATAGAAAAGGCATTTCAACTTATTGCACTTTTGAACTTCAATATACCACAGTTTTGGGAAGCACACTTGTTGGGAACAAGCATATAGGCTTTTGAGTTCTTCTGCATCACCAGAATCAAATATTTGTTCTAATTCATCACAGTTCAATATTTTTAAACTTCGCAGCTCGGGTAAGCTTCTAACAATGGTAGGGGAGAATATGGTTTTCAATTTTGGACATCCATCCACACGAAAATATTTAAGCACTTGGAGGCTTAGAAATTTTGTGGGGCCCTTCCATATGAACTTGAGCTCAGGTAGATTAGTCAAATAGAAACCATATAGATCTAAGTTCAAAGGACTTTGTTCTCTATTGCTCCCATGTTCTCTGATTTGGAGTTGAAAAATGCCTTCTGCTCTAAGATGAGTGAAGATAAGTACTTTAAAGCCAAGGACAACTTTTAAATCCAAGGGAAACATTTGATCACACAATTGGTTTGTGACAACCACCCACAGTATTTCCTTCTCCTATAATTAATAATATTCAATGTTAGTTTGTTATATGCACATTCAATGAGTCAATAGAACTTCACACCAAAAGAAAAGAAAACCACCAGTGAAATCAACACTTTCTTCTTGTAACAATGCACAAAAACTTCTTGGTAGTAATACTTTATTTCAAATACTTGGCATTCACAACTAATTACTTGATAAAATAAAAATTTAACTTTGACAATGTTAAACTAATAAATTATATCTATTACAAGTCATTTAAAAGAAAATATTTTTCTTGATTACCTTTACCATTGCAGTTGTGTCTTGTTGCAAATGTGAACCAATCACCATTTTGCTCACAGAAGAGTTAGACAATTTTGGACATTTGTTGAATTCTAATGTTTTAACATTTGGTGAACATGGATGGCAATATTCAGGCCAAATGTCAATAAGATTCAATAATAAGTTCAGTGAGAGACGTCTAAAATTAGGCAAATTTATCTCAATTTTAGTCTTGGGGTGATTGTCGTTCTGGTGCACTAAAAGACGATGTTCCTTCTCTGTGCCAAATACATACTTCAGCTCAGCACTGTTGTGAATCCTCATCTCTTCCAACCTCCTTAGACATCGGGCAAAAAACACAGGGAAAATATATTCCAAACTTTCACATCCTTCAATATCAAGAATCCTTAATTTTGAGAGCACCGAAGTGGGATGACTTTGATTGATGACATGATCAACATTCCCTTCTTCGACTTCTATTAAATGCTTCAATTTACTGCATTTAGATATTTTCAGTTCCTCTAGCAGCTCTAGTGTTTGGGCAATGGATGGCATGAAGAGAGAAGTTAGCATTTGGCACCTTTCTATTTTCAAGAATTTAAGATTGCCTAGCTTTGAGTTTCTTGGAAAGGATATGCTGTATAACTGCTTACAATTTTCTATCCTTAATTCTTCTAAATTTTTGAGAGAGCATTGCAAAGCAGGATCACGAAACACTTCTTGAAGGCCATGCATGTGGAACAACCTTAAGGTAACTATGCTGGAGAACACAGCTGCTGTCTGAAGTGAGTTCAATTGAGGATTTTTGGTGTCGGCAATGATAGTGCTATCAACCAGGCATTCTATCTCTGAACAATGTTCAAGTATTAAAAAAATCAATTGATTCATACCTTGTTGATCCATGGTTGGAATTAAATTTTTGTAGCCTCCTTGAAGGCGTATCAAATGAAGGTCATCTGCTCTTACAAAGAGATCTTTGATCGATAATGACATAAAACTTTGAGCAGAGGCATTGAAATCTTCTATGCATAAAGCTCTAGACGGTCTATGGTTTTCCAAAATGTTAATCTGCATGTCAGAAAATTTTTCATAATAATCAATGTTGATCTTGCCTTGCAATATAGCATACCTCCGCAATCTTGAGAAAGAGACATTATGTGGCAAGTTCCCTTCAAACTTCCATAAATACAAATATAGTTCCTCTAGCTGCAAACACCTTGCTATTACCTCAAAAGTATTATTTTTCTCAATCCAGCAATTGAACAAATCCAGAAGCTTCAGTTTTTTTAATGCTACAATTCCATTAGGCAATTCTTCAAAAGAAGAACCACGCAAGTCAAGAATCTCAAGTCCTTGTAGGCTTTCCAAAATTGAGAAATCGCCTAATTTATAACCTCTCAAGCACAAAGTTTTAAGATTTTTTAATGACTCAATTGACTGTGGCAGTGACACAGTAAGTGTTGATGTATTTGTTATTCTTGGTATATATACATTCCACTTATAACCGAATGTTAAGAATGCAAGGACTTTAAGAATTTTCATCCCTTCAAGACACACATTCGATACTTTAAAGCTAACATTTGGTGAATGAAGCAGGAGAACTTCAAGTGTTGAACAATTCAATTGATCATCAAGAAGCTGTCCATTTTTCAATTCCCACAAGGATATTGCCCTCTTATCTTTTATTGTTTCATCCTCTACCATGGTTCTTGGATCCATTACATTACTTGCCAAAATTGCTTGATCCCTTTCTGATGCTATCCACAAGGCCACATCACGAACCATGTCATGCATTTTCACCCTTTCTTTTTTATTGGCATGAAGCAACAAGCAAGAATCCATAAGCACGTTAACAGCTAGATGCATCTCCCTCCTTGCTTTCTCCATTGTTCGAAATTTCTCAGTTAGCCCCAATCCCCTTCCAAATCGAAATAAATCTTCCAAATCAATTTCATGATCCTCAGGAAATATAGAACACAACAAGAACAAGGACTTGGCTAATTGATTTGTCAAATTATCATAACTTAATTGAAGACTTACATAAGGATTTATTAAGCCTTTTGGAATATCCAGTGGTCTGGAATCTTCTAGTCTTGACAATGCTGACTCCCACACTTCAAAAGTTTTTCCCCTTAGCATGCTTCCCACTGTCACAATCGCAATAGGCAATCCCTTACATTCATTAACAATTTTTCTTGCCACAACTTTCAAAGCATTTGGGGAGTCATCATCTATGCTTGCATACAATTTGAACAAATTCCAAGCTTCTCCATCAGTTAAGAGACTGAGCTCAATTATACTTTGGCATTGCATAGAAGTGCATACTTCTGTACTCCGAGTTGTTAGAAGTACTCTACAACCATTTCTATTTTCATTGAATGGAATTCCTAAAGCTTCAAAGTCTACCTTTTCCCATACATCATCCATGATTAGAAGAGTTGTACCTTTCCTTAATCTCTGTGATAGTCTTTGTGCTCTACCTAAATCTGATTCTTCCTCTAATTTGAAACCCAACTGATCAGTAATTTGAGCTTGGATGCTTCTGATATTTGGAGTTTGGGAGACTGTTACCATGACAACCTTCTCAAAAAGATTTAACTCCTCAGCTTTCTTACCTACCTCTTTCACCAAAGTAGTTTTTCCTGAGCCTCCTATTCCATGTAGTCCAATCATCCAAGAATCATTATCTCTTAATGTTTCCAAAAGCTTTTTGTATGCTGATTCAGTAGATTTGAAAAGAATAAATTTTTTTGAAGAGTAGTACATCATGCCTGGAAGTTCAGTGAGCCTAGAAAATGGCTCAAATTTGCTGTTATGATTGAGTTGAGTCATTTTTTCTGTTGTTCTTGCTATTTCTTTTACAAGAAAATATTGGCATTGCCTTCTGAAATAGCTCTTGTTTGCTTCATAAATTCTTACTTCCAGCTTCTGCACTTCTTCTAAGACATTCTCCACTTCTTTTCGCCACTTCTCAACAGTTGGTTCAATTTTTTCATTCCTATTAATGGCTTCTTTTACATGTTCATTCACACTGTCTCGGGTCAATTCCAATTCTCTTTTGGCATTTTGAAGACTCCCAGCAAAGTTGTTGAAACAGCACAAGTATTTAGCATGATGTAAAATTGGAGCCACTGCATATTCTGCAATCTTTGCTATGATGGAAAGAATGAAATCCTCCATTTGAAATGACACAATTCTGATCATGAAAAAATTCATTACTTCTTGCTTAAAAATTGTTAAGTAAACTTACTCGTGAGTGATGATGCAATTAACAAAATCAATAACGTAATTTTGTGGCATTCATACCTTTGATGGATGCTGTTGTATTTGTAAAAAAAAAGTATTTGCCAATGCAGATTGGGTGCTTATGTTGGACAAAGAACAGAAAGTATTAGCAAGGTATTTGTACAGAGCACTGAATATTCATTGCAAAATAAAAATTGATTTCTAAATTGATAACAATATGACTTAATATTAAGAGAACAGATTACACAAGCATGTTGAGAAATGATTTTGGAAACTAGCGCATTTTGGCCTTCCAAAATACTAAGTAAAAAAGTACATGAAAAAATCTATACAATAACATTTAAGGCAAATACGTTCATACCCCCTATGGTTTAACAAAATTTCACTTGATACCCCTTCTTCTTTTTTACCCTTCACAAATGTCTTTTAATTTATGTAATAACATGACATCTTATATCCTTCTCGATTACATAAACCATCCCTGATTTCTTATGCAGTTATATGAATCAGGAGAGATTAAAGTAATGTAAAAGAGAAATTTTCAAGTGAAATTTTATTGAACTTGAAGGGGTGTGAATGTAATCACTATTAACTACTTTTTCTTCAATTTTCAAAAGAAATTAATGAAAACCACATAAATGAGCATACTAAGCAGTAAGCCCGAAACTAACGGTATGACATGTGAAACTATTGTCTTTGGAATAATGCAACTATATGGGAGAAGACTATGTGAACATTTAAGTGTTAAAAGAGGAATCGAATTTCATGCTTAATCATGATTTGGAATGTTATATATAGGGGTTAATAATTGATGTGTGGAGGAAAGAAGTTTGCTGACATGACAAATACACAGCTTCATACCGTAGTTATTATTATGATATGTGATCATTAGTGTTTTTTCAAAACCTGGTGTTAGTATTTATAATTGAATGTTTTTATACTTTTTATCATTTAATTAGTGGAAAATATATTTAGAAGTGCAATTTCCTCGTTATAACTACATAGGATCAACAGCTTTGGGAAATGATTTCGGTATCATTGACATGAACGTAAAATTTGAGGCAAAGAAGAAAATTTAAACTAAACTACAAATTTGCATTGTGATGCATACCTCAAGAGACGTGCAGAGTTAAAAGTCAAGAAGAATGAAAACTAATAAACATCATGGTGAATCACAATATTAAATTGAATAATGTGGAGTTGCTATTTTAAACAGTTAAAATGATTGACGAGAAATAGGAGAGGTCACAGACGATTTTGTGAAGAAGCATAAAATATGTAGAAGTAAATGAAAGAATAAGTAAAAAGGAATAGGACGTCCATCCTCCTAACTCCTAAGTTCCCAAGTAAAGTATCAACTACATAATATATGCAAGTATTCCTTAATTTTATGGGGGGTCATGAATACAAAGTGATTTCTTTTTTAATTCTTGTTGTTATTGTGCTCTAAACTCCGCCCAAACTTTCATTTCTCTATATGGGTAATGGATTCAAGAAATGGGGATAAAAGGTTTGATTCTTGTTTGACTTCATTAATAAATCAGATGAAATGTACATGGTAAACAAAACTATTCACAAATTTGTGTGTATGTATAATGATAGCATACACATTTCAATTGAAAAACGTTAAATTATCAAAAATCCTCATCATTATATCTTTTTTATTATAAAAAAATTTGGAAAAGAGAGGTTTGCCACATTTGAAGTGACCCTATAGGTAAACTTCAACCAAGGTCTATTTATTTGTGGCCATGGCTGAGGAGAGAAAGAAACAAGTGAATAACAAGAGTATTTAAAACGAATTTTAATTATCTATAATTTGATAATTTCTCGTTAGATTTGGTTAGTTATGAGAAATATTTAGTAAGAGTTAGTACTTCATAGAACTTTTTACACGGTGCCTCATAACACGTGATTGGTACTTCAAAAGTATTGGATTCACTATCATAAACTTCACTGTGAGCTTTAAATTCAATGGGCATACAAAATTGTTATATTACAAGTAACAACCACTTCTCTGTCCATTTATCTTAAAACAAGTAGTACAAAAGAATCATCAGAAAGAATAAATGAAAATTTGTATATATGGTTTCATTGTTCAATTCACAAAGTACGAACATTCTCATATTAGATCAACCATAGTTTTTAAGGCACATATTTTGAACTTCTATCTTGGCCTAATGGTTGGTATATCTCCACTCACTAGGTCACTACCTGACACATCTCCTGAAATAAAAGGAGGCTTTACAGTAGATGATGAAGGTTGTGAACTGAATATGGTGCCAGAAGAATCACTTGTAACATATTCAGCTCTCTTGGTATCAGACTCTGGTATCATAGAATAAATGTATTCAAGCTCTCTAGCCACTTCTGCCATTTTAGGCCTCTCATCTGTCGCATCTTTGCAACACTTTAAGGCTAAAGTCAAAAATCTCTCCACATACTCAATAGGATAAGATTCAATACGTTTATCAACAACCGAAATTATTCCACCAGATTGGTATGCCGCATTAACCTGAAAAAAAGGAAAAGAAAAGATTTTCAGAAGTGTTAAGTGTTCTTTTACCTTCATAATTTAGACACGAGGAATGATTAAGGAACATTAATATAACAATTGATACAAATAATTTGGACACTATTGATGTTAGTATATTATGTATTAGCAGTCATTTTAAAATAATCAACAATATATTATCTTGATTGAATATGACCAGAAAACTTGTTGTAAGACTTGGGCAATCCTCCCCTTATGAGCTAATCTTTGGGAATGAGTTGGGTCCATCTTTCTAAAGCAGCTCATTAATACAATTCCTCTGTATAACTCTCTTTTGGCAATTGAATTTGGCTCAACCTATGTCAAATACTTAGGGCAGTCTAACTTTCCAAGTTACCCCCTTTGATTACAACAGTGATGGATTGTAAATTTTAATCAAGCTATAAATCAACATAAAATGTACAATTTCACTCAATAATTAATAATTTATTTCAACAGTTGAATTTGATGAAAACACTTTTCCCAATCAAATTCAGAAAGTACATGGATGAGAATATTGAAAGGAAGATAGAAATGACAAAATTCACTCTAAAAATATGTTACGGAAAGAAATAAAAAAACACCTTCACTTTCCCAAAAATGGTCTGGGTAAGATTTGATCACAGACACAACCCCAGGGTTGAAACAGAGAAGACAAACTGAACTTCTTAACCTTCTTTCTATTGAGATGAAAGGGTTCAGTTGGAAAAACAACATGAACTCATGGACTGTATAGAGGTAAAGTGTAATATGATGCAAGTAAAAATGAAGGCATTTTTTTTTTTTTCATTTAGGCTATGGCTGAGTCTGCAAATATACAAATGAAATTACAGATATTGAACATTCCATTATAGTGCAATTTCTACTACATAATTATCATCCCAGCCGGATCCAATCACAATTTGTCAGGAAGAGAATCCAAGTCATACCTGTCTAATAATATTTTCACCATGCAAGATTGGTGGCCTCCCAGTGACAAGTTCCAGAAATACAACACCAAGACTATAAACATCACTCTTATCAGTCAACTTGTGAGTTAGGAAGTACTCAGGATCAAGGTAACCCTGCATATTTAAAACAGTGAATAAACAATAGAGACATTAAATCCTTGAACAGATAAAATCAATGTTACCAATATGTAAAAGTAATTTTAAGCAGTTGGATACTTTTACTTCTTTGAGTTTGGAATCCAAAAATTTGTTTTCAAATTCACTCATAATTATAACTATAGTGCATTTTGTAAACAACTAAAAAGTACTTGAGTAAATCTAAGTATACTAATAGACAGGTGATAAACCCAAAGAAGATGAAAGTCAATGCTTTCTGTAAATTGCTAATACTAAATTATCTGTTACTAAACAATCCAACAAAATTTTCCTAGTCATACAAACCTTTTTCCATCTTTCAAGTCTTTCAATTTGTTCAAGAAATAAATTGAAATTGTTTTAAAACATAATTATTATGATTATCAAACTCAAATTCTAATAATTCTTTTCCTATCTTTCACTAGTAAAAATGCAATGGTTTCATCTGCTCCAGCCCTTCCAAGTTTCAAAACCCCGTATTTTCCAAAAGAAACATCCAAACAATGCTTACGGTTGGGCCAGTATTAATGACATTCAAAAATAGCAGTAGAATAAGAATATAATAAAATTCATCATAGTAACTAAAATAAAATCATTGAAAGGCTTGGAGAGATTGTAGAACATTCTTGAAGTAATGCATTGTTCTACATTTTCTTTTTAATATTATGTAGGATGGTGTCTCATACAGTCATATATACTTTAATAAGATTTCTAATCTTTTCTGAATGAACACATGCTCAATTTTAGCTAAAGGAAATCCAGTCATGAAAACCTTACCGGGGTCCCCTTCACCACTGTTGATACATGACCAGGTACATTTCCTTCAATATCTGGAACTGGGGCAAGTCGTGAAAGTCCAAAATCAGCAACTTTTGCTGTGAATCTCGAGTCCAATAATATATTGCTAGCCTTGACATCTCGGTGGAATATTGGAGGATTAGCTTCTGTGTGTAGATATAGTAGACCTTTAGCTGATTCTAGAGCAATCTTCAACCTCATGGAAAGACCAAGAGGTTCTTTTGAGTAAGCTGTCATAAAACATTAAGTGCATAGTTAAGAGCGACAACATACAAAGCGTGCTTTTTCTATTAAAAGAATTATTCAAGTTTTTGTATTTTAAATTGGAACTAGAAAGAGCAAGGAAAACTTTTACAGGCAAAAAAACATGTATTTTTTCAGGATGCAGTCAACAGTAAAATGCAATGGACACTGATAAATTTAGAGGAATGCCAACAACACAATATTTACCGAATCTTTTGTGTTTAGTCAATTTTTGAAAATGAAAAATAATTTTAAAAAAGTGATCAATAATAAACCAATCACGTAAAATGTGCTTAAAAGTGCGTTTAAAATAGTGTGTTACTAGCATTTTTCATAAGTTAATAGACCATAAGCAAATTAGATAATAAGAACACGAGATGTACCAGAAAGGTGATCCCTTAGCGTTCCATTTGGCATATATTCATAAACCAACATCTGCAAGCATAAAGCAACAAACCAGATGGAAAAAAATAAAATAGTCAATAAGGAAAGAAGATTTAAGGGTGACCAAAATATTTTGAGGAGAAGGACAATAGCCAAAACAAAATGGATTTAACTAAATTCCCTAGTTCTAGCTTTAGAAATTTGTCATAATTCAAGAATGATATTGATTCATAAAGAACAGACAGCTGTAGTTTGCAGCTGTGAATTTTAATGAAAAGTTTTCAATATCAATTTGAACAAAGATCCTATTTAGTGCAAATCATGTCCTCGTGGTATCAAGTCATTCAACATGAGAGAGAAAACTAATGGGACTTGTGAAGATTAAAACATTCAGAATTATATCAAGAATAAAATTTAACTGAAAATTATACCACAAGTTATATTAAGTTTAAACTAATGAACTTTAAAACAAAAGTTACCTGTTCACCCTCTTCATCACAGTATCCAATCAGAGACACAAGGTTGCGATGATGTAACCTTGATAGCAATTGTATTTCTGTAAGGAACTCCCTCTCACCTTGCAATGAACCCTCTTGTGCACGTTTTATGGCAACAGCAGTACCATCTTTTAGATGACCTTTATAAACCTTCCCATAGCCCCCTTGTCCAATTTGATCAGAGTCACTAAAATTGTGTGTGGCCAAGGCCATTTCTTCGTAATCAAATGATCTTACACCATCAATTTTTACTGAGATCCTAGATGCTGTGAAAAAGAAAATAAAAGCCTTTGTTTACAACATATTTTAATCGGTTCATTCTTCACAAATTGTTAACCAATCAGTTATGGTTAATATCAGCAAACAGTTTATGTTAAAAAATTAAGAATGTTCGGAATGATAATAAAAGAAAATTTGATTCAGAATATGGTTCAATCAAAATAAAATTGTGCAATAACTTCTAGACTTCTGATTGTGACAGAGCCAGAGCACTGAAGAGAATTCAAAGAGAAAAATATAATAGGCTAGCTTACTCCTCATAAGGCACTAACCTCTACGCCGTTTGGTAAGTGTATGGTAATCTCTCAAGCGTATTCTCAATATAAGAATGGTAACAATTGCAGATAATGTAACTGCACAGGCAATTGCACCTAAGACTATTCCAGCCAGTGCACCTTTACTTAGCCCTGAACTTGAAGAGGGGATAATCACTGCAACAATAATAAGAAGTATGAGAACAAGTGAACAACCAAAAAACTGTCATATTCCATACGTGGATGACTATGACTTATTTTTTACCATCTTATTCATTTATGAGGCAGTTTTTAAACTTTTGACGTGGTATCTAAAAATACATTATGAGAAAAGAAAAATATGCTTTGAATTTGAGGAGCAATCAAGCAGAAGTAAAGCAAAATTTATTTCGCAAGCATGACTTATACTTGGAAAAACTAATTTATTTCTAGGAACTGGAGAACCACTCAATACGTTTGTAGAAAACATTATACAAACAATTCCATTATTTGGTCTCGTAAATACTGCTCAATCACCTCAATAAAATTCAAGTGCAGTTTTATAATTAAGAACGTGAAACTCCCTCTAAACACTTTATCGGACAATCATAAGTTTCTGTGACTTACAATCCCTGTAAGGATCCAGTAGAATGAAGTCTAGAAGTTCATAAGGACCAAACAAGTCACTGTCATGAATGGTCCATTCTCTGAACAAGTTTTGGATCCGAATAACCTCACTTGAGTTAAATTCATGGGAGCTTGTACTGTCAACATATTCAGGAAAAACCTTCAAGTTCATTCTCAACCGTCTTTCTTCCCATTCAAAACTCTTGATGAATAGCTGATTAAGATGTACATTAATACCATCTGTCAGGAACCTCTCAAATGTTCTCGTGTATGCATGGAAATCTGAAAATCCTGGACTTTTCAACCGATAATGAACAATCAATGGAGCTGCGCAGAAACACTCCACGGTGTATTCATAAGGAGGGGGACATGCTTGACTGGGGCAGCTAACATTGGTGTTTCCATTTATGCCATTGTCACTTTCAGATCCACAGAACTGAACTAAGGTGCTATTATTTGGGCATAGAGGATTTCCCTCAAGCCTGAAAAACAGTAATTTCCAATGATCATGTGACAAAGTTATCCAAGAAAGATAAAATTCATGTTAAATGCAATGGTCAACTACGTTTGACCTTTATCATAAATGTTTGTATTATTTTGAACGAGCATAATCTGATTTTATTATAACTGCTAAATAAAGTTCAGAAGCATACATGAGTGTGACATTTGGAGGAAGATTTGTAGTGCCTGATATGCTTGTAAGTTGATTATGTTGCATGTCCCTGCAAGATTACCAATCCATGCTGAGAAAATCATAACAATAAAATTAAATAGCATCTATGCATAACAAAAACACAGAATACAAGATTACTTAGAAAATATACCGACATCTGCATGTTGACACACATACTATCAGCTAATGCAGATGAAAATAAAGGAAACACATACACATGATACCAAATAAAGATCTACATGTGAAAATTTGTGCAATCATCATTTCAAGTCTTACAAGATTAGTAGTTCTGTTCTATTTAAAGTCTGGTTCTGCCAAATGGTGGAAGGAATATTGCCACTCAATGAATTGATTGCAATTGACCTGTCAAAGGGAAGGACATGTCTTGAAAAAACGTTGATTTTATAGCATGTTGTATAGAATTAGAAATTAAAGGAATTTAAATAAATTAAGAAATACAACAAAATATCATTTGTAAGTAAGATAAGGTGATAGATGCTTAATGTTGTTTGGTTTACACTTACAGTGACATAGAAGAAGAAAGGGTGAAACAAAAGACCACTTACAGTTTCTGAAGACGTGGAAGACCAGAAAAGTTGGATGGAATTGTTCCAGTAAGCTTATTGTTTGATAAGTCACTGCATATGTTACCAGAGGTACAACAATAATATTATATGCAACCCATGAGTCCATGACATCATATTTTGAAGATTTTCTCTAACCACTTGTCATAAGAGGAAAATATACATAATGGAAGGAAATCCAAATAATTGAATGCAAGATCAATAGATCAACATATTATTTGAGCAATAGAAGTTCTTACATGGTTGTGATATTTTCAGAAAGCTTATTGGTAGGAATTGATTCATTCAACTGATTGAAACTGAGGTCCCTGGAACATACATAAACAACAGTCAGTAGAAATGGTTACAAACAATCTTAGACTGTCTTTTAAACATGTACATGACATCTAACTCATGAGTTGAAATAAATTAAGATAACTGTACTTACAGATAACCAAGGTGTGGTATCCTGCTTAAATCAGGAATTGGTCCTTGCAAACGGCAGTTCCTAAGGCTCCTGATAAAACCAAGTAACCAATAACAACATGTAGATGGTTGAAATACTCCGAACATTTCTACTCACCAAACTAAATAAATAGTTGGGACAAGAAATTCTATTAAGCAGAGCAAAGTGGAAAATATAGAGTGACAATGTGGGACCCTCCAAATAAAGAGAAAAGAAAATAGGGGAAATAATAAATCCTTTCCAAAACAATTTGGACATCAGGCTAATACGACAGCAACGGCGCATGTTGCCATTAACTGTATTTTGATTGAATGTTATTAAACAATCCTTTTCAGAAAGCAAGATGATAAGACCATATTATACTAATCGATTTAAACAACTATGTGAGTGGCATTGTCTTTCATTTATGTTCTACATAGTGATGAACTGTCTAAATATCATTTTCAAAAAACAATATAATTGTTTGCTTAATTTTGTACCTTATTTTTAAGTTCCTTGCAATGTTTTTCTCTAATTGAAAGTTCTATATGTAATAAATCACAAAGGTTCTAGTATCTCAGGCTGGTATTTCACAATAAAACATTAAAATAAAGGCTCAAGCACCTCAGCTTCACTTCTTGTACAGGTGAAGTACTTACAAACATTCTGACAAAAAAAAAACGTACTTACAAACATGGGATAAGAAAATGTACTTACAATTTCAACAATTTTGACATGTTTCCATAAGAATCTGGGATGCTATTTCCACTGAAGTTATTGTTATCAAGTTGACTGCAAGAACAACAACATCCAAAACTATTTCAAAAAATTATTTATCAAGCAAGGAATATTTATTGGATCAGTTAATATTGTAGAAGCAACAAACATTTTAAAAAAAATCTAAAAGCTTTACAATGACTAAATAATAGAAACTTCCCAGCACTATGATATATGGCACCATTTTCAAAGCATTCACTCCTTCATTTTTAAAATATTTAACTGTAGAACTTCACTCCTTAATTTCTTTGTTGTAGTTTGCCAACGCATAGCCTTGCAGATCTTAATACCGTTTCTTATAGTTACCATACTTAAGTTGTAGGATTTAGACATGCATAAATTCATCATTTCCTTTTTTTCTTTCTTGTCTACAAAGGTCTAATGAGGACAAGTAAAAGAGGTGGCAAGGTAATCTAAGTGCAAATTGATCCCAGATTCCCATTCTATGTACATTCTCTCTCACCTTTTTTCTCCCTACAAATTAAACATTGTCACTTTGTTAACAATTCCAATTTTCCTTCACAGATTTATCTTCCTTTAATATATCAATAGGTCATATTTAATGAATCACATATTGTCAATGCTTCTATTATTTAACAAGATCTCAGTAAAACAACTCTCCTTGATTTGAAACATACTTTAGTAGAATTAACAATGGCCAACTCTTTAGACATGGCAGAGGTGCATCGTAACATAAATTTTCAATTTTCTAAACAGAACATTTGTTAAAATTTTCCATGAAAAAGTAAAAGAAAATAATGAATGGTAATGGTAACAAAGGAAAAAGGAAAACGAAAAACCAACTATATTTTGATATATAAGAATAGATCCTCTCATGTCGGTTTTTCACATGATTTGTCATGTGAGAAGAGAGATAGACACAAAATTTTTATAGGGATCCAATGGCAGTGGAGTCCTCTTAAGGTCCTTTGTGTTTACCTTTCTCTTCACACCCAATCATGTAAAATTAAAATGGAAGGATCATTCTGGTCAAAATCATACATATTAAGAAAGAATGAATTAGCTAACAGAGATTAAGAGAAGTAAAATGTCCTGGACCTGCATTAAGAACATGTGTTTTATTCATCCAAAACTAAATGAGCTTACAAACATATATATACAGACATATTTAGCACAGAATAATAAAACATACAGTATCTTTAAGCTCGGCATCTCCGATAGCTCATGTGGGAGATATCCTGTGAAGTTATTGTTGTCAAGAAGACTGCATGTCCAAAGATACATCTTGTCAAAAAGATACAAATATGACAATGAAAGACTAAATAAAACCATACAAATATGTCAAAGACTGCAATCATGTCACCAATATCTGATAACTAACTTACAGGTGAATAAGGCTTCCTAATTGGGAAAGCTGTGGTGGGATTTGCCCGCTAAGTGAATTATTGTTCATGTGACTGCTCCATTAGGGGAAAAGATGAAGCATTATTTTCTTTCATATTGTTGTAAGCAAGTCAAAGGTAGAGAAATAAAAGAATTCGAGTGAAGTAGCAAGAGTGACAAATTTTAAGACTTTAGTAACCGTCATAAAGAGCCTTACAAGTGTAGTGTGCTGTTCAGGTTTGCAAATGACAAAGGTATGGATCCTGAAATGTTGTTCTGATCAATTTGTAATCTGTTCAGGACTGGAAGATAGCCAAGCTCTTCCGGCAGAGAACCTGTTAGTTGATTTCCATTCAGGAGTCTGCAAAAACTTTATTTGATAAGAAAGAAAGTAGAAACAAGGTAGCTCTTCATGTCAAAATTTCAGCCACATGACAATTATGCAACCATTTGACTTCATTTTTCAATCCTATTGAAACAAATATTTAACTTCCACTTTTTTCCAAAACACTACTCTGATTTAATGCAATGACAGGTATGTTCATCTACTAATAAGTATTAAATGACACAGAAGTATCAAGGTAATAAAAAAAACTAAATTATTTAACGAAGATGGACTGTTCAACTTACAAGAGTTTCAAAGTTTTGATATTGCCAATTTCCTTCGGTATGCTCCCACTTATGTGGTTCCACATAAAATCCCTTTCAAGTATACAAATAAAATCCCATGTTAGAGGAAGAAACTAATTGCTAGCTTTTACAGGAAGGAAACATTCAAAAGGATCAAATCCACTATATTCTTGAGCAAAATTACAATCTAGCAATTGCAAGATTGAAAATTGTTCATATGTCACAGGGTTGCATTAGAAAAATCAAAGCAGCTATTGTCTTACAGTATTTCCAGATGAGATAAGTTGCCAATCTCTGGTGCTAAATTTCCAGACAAATTCAAATTCAGTAGTTGCCTACAGACAAAAATAAAAGGTTGAGGTTCTCAAATAAATGTGCCAAAAGAAGGTTTTCAATCGAAGAGATGCAAAAGAAGACTCACCTAAAGCTTACTTGTCTACTTGTCTATACTACTTGACATTGGATTATTATTCAATGCATTATAGTAGTATTGATTCTAGAAGTAAAAGATAGTTCATGAAAAAGATAGATATCTACTTAAATAGAGATCATGCTTCAAGTTCAAGATAGCTGAATTTGTGAACATTCAATGAAAATATTATTATACAGAATTGTGCACTTATAGCTGACGGCCTTCATTGTAGTTGTACTTACTTTTCTAATCTCATCACTATTGATTAAGAAAGTTTGGGCTCACAACAACCATTGTTAATCTATTTGAACCTTAACAAACTAAAGGGAGAAAAATAAATAAAATTTGGACCAAGAAAATGGAAGCTTAAACATGTTAAATTAGCTATTAACAAAAGAAATGTTTAGCGGAATATTAAAGTCATACAATTGTTTAACATGTAGATAGTCATCGGCTAATGTTGTATTGGTGCACATAATCCCAATCCAGTTAGACGTACATGGGTCTCCACCATCCCAGCTGCTCAAATTTCTATTGATATCAATCAAACTTTTCTTTATGGTTCTCAATGCGTCAACTGCAAATGCAATCATCATACCATCAATAGAACCAATGAAAATAACACTAATATTATTTTGGCAGCACCAACTTTTTTGTTGGTAGAAAGCCAGAAATGAATTCTTTTATTGAATCTGAATTTTTTTATTTTACAAGAGACGTAAGTACAATATTTGCAGATTTTCCTAGTTTGCATGATTATATGTATATTGCATAGAATAGCTACTACTTCCAGAATCATAAAAAGCAAGGAAGAACAATAAAAAAAGGGTGGAAAATATACCTTCAGTAGGGTCAGTGATCTGACCAACAGCCAATAGGAAATAGCAGCAGAACCACAAGCAAAAAACAACTTCACCCCTACAACCCTTTGAAAGATGCATCTCAGGAAAGCAGAAATCACCAAACTTTTATTTAAAAATTTGTCCTGAATTTAGCAAGGTGCTTTTCTTGTCCTGGTCACAACAAAACCAGTGTTAGAGAATTCATTGATGTGCACTCAAACACCACCCCATAATATATATGCTTCGGAGTTAAAAAATACCCAGATTGCTATCAAACTAAAGTTGATTACCCTTTCCAAAAGCAAGTCCATATATGCATATCCAAGCGCAAAAAAATCACAGAAAGTTATCAAATTGAAACCATACAAGAATACCCTTTTTACTACAATGTTTTCAAAGGACGGGAAAGAGAAATCCACTTGCTGGAATAACACAACAGAACTGAAAATGCAAAAAAGATAGTAATAACTTGCAAGCATATATTATATGAGAGAAGCAACATGTGGTTTATAACTTATAACAAGAGTTGAGTAACAAAAAATATCAGCATTGAAAACTTGGTAGGAAGTGTTGTAAAGGTAAACTTATGACCAAGTCACCAATGCAACGTGGAATTGCTGGTGTTGTTGATGCCATCACTTTCGCCACTGTTGCAAGGTGGCTGTTATCTAGATTTTAACGAAGTTGCATGCGTAAATAGCAATATTAAACACATTAAAAAGTGAAAGAACTTTTCTTAAGTGGAGTTGGTCATTTTAGTTTGGGGAATCAAATAGGAGATTCATTTTATATATTATAAATCACATTTATTTATGGAGTTGGTCATTTTGACTTTGTGGAATCAAATAGGAAGAGGTCGATCATATATATATATATATATATATAATCGATCGTTTACTCAAAATAATTGTAAATAATTTTATTCGTTTTGTTTTAACTGCTTGATGGCTGAACAAGACAAGAACAAGACAACCTTTAATAACTGTGTTAAAAATTGAAACAAATTATTTCTAAATCGTTAAATTGAATAAAAAAATATCAAACTTATTTCGTATTATACAATCATTTTAAGTATTAATAACATATATTTTATTTTTTTATATTAACAAAATTATATATTTGGATAATATCAAACTTCTTTTAATAATCTTTATTATTGACTGGGAGATATCCTTATTTCACACCCAAATATTAAATTGATAATAGAACATTCTGATATCTGAAATTGATCTTAGCATAACAAAAAAACTGATTTGAGAGAGACCGGAAAAGTGAACACCGGTGATTAAATATTTAACTTTAAAGATGGTGAAAAAATATCTCTATTTTCCATATTCAAGATGCCATTTTATTTTGTTTCCTTTTTTAATAGGGAACGTCCTGATTCCTAAATACTAGATTTCGTAAGAAAATATAGTGAAATTATAAATTATAACGTTAAATAAAAGGGCTCAAATCGAATATAAAAATATTTAAACTTATACTAAAATAAGAAAATATTTTCTCTTTTACTAGGCCATTGAAGGACAAAAACATTGAATTTTTGTTATGGCTCCTTCACATTATCAATTTTTTTCACTTTAATATTTGCAAAGTAATTCGAATTAGACTTTGCCAGCGAAAACTGCCAATGCGAGTTCATTTTGGTTATTCACTTTTACGACCTAGTCATAGTTAATGTTTTTAACACTTTTTCCCTTGTTCAGACGTTGTGGCGAAAATCTTTGTAACAATTTTTTTATATGCACAAATTAAACGCGAGACTGCAGAATTTAATTTAAATTTTGGTTGAAGTTCAATTCGTTGAACTTAAACTGTACAATATATAAAGCAAATATGAACGCAATCTATTTGCGGCCAGAATCAACTTCACAAATATAAATTAGTAGTTTGACGTTTAATTTGGTTGATTATGGGTGTATATGTTTAAACAAATATTTATAAAAAAGCACAAATAATCAAATCAATAAAGGCATTGGTTCAAAGTTTAATAATTCAACTGAGTCTAAATTAGTTTAAGAAGGTTCAAAAGTTAAAAGCAACCCTTGTAGATTACCAACAATTCAACATGCAAGCTGAATGAACATCGTATCTGAGGTTTATTAAATTGGTCAACGTCACTACAACAAGTACGATGTTTCGCATATGGTTACTTTATTGATGCATTCATTGAGTGAGCGTTTGAATGCCTTTACAAGATAAAATGGTTATGGAATGATTATACTGCATTTTTACAAGATAATGAAAATTTGGTTCTTGTTATTGATTATGGAATCAATAAATATGTTTATGCATTAAAAAACCATAAGGTGAGTGCATTATTATGTTTTTTAATATAAAAAAATCTATTTTATATTTTCTAACCAATTTAAGACAATAGTTAATGCTTTTCTAAATAATTAAATTATAATAATAATAGTTCATATATCACTTCAAAAATGTATTATTAAGAAATTTTTTAAAAAGTTAAGACAAAATTTAAAAAAAAAAAATTGATTCTAATTGTTTGATACCTAATTTTAACCCGTTTTAGCTAGATCATTACCAATCAATTTTGACCCTTTTTTTTTACCCATTTTGAGTTGTTCAAAATATTAATTTAATCGATTTTGATCCAACTAATCAAACCAGTAAGTCTGATCGGGTAAAATTGCGTTTTAATAATGTAATTTTCTAATATCAAGCTAACGCGTTGTGAATATATAAGACCTTAAATTAATGTTTCTTATATTACTTGAGGGGATGCTTTTAAATATTTAAAATATTAAATATTTAAAATATGTTTTTGAAATGCATGTGTATAAAAATAAGTACAGTAAAAAAAAAGTGATGGTTCATTCTACTTTGTTTTAATTTAAGGTAAGAAAGGCAACGATATGTTCTAGAATTAAAGAGATTAAGACTAATATTTACTCATAGTTTGTGGGTACTATTGGCCTAGAAAAGTTTATATACAGTGAAATTGAAACATAAATTAACCTCACACGCCTAAACAAAATGAGATATTATTATATTACTGCGCAAAAATGCAATTCATTCTACTTTTATCTATTTAAAAAATTGTATTTATATGATTATTTAGATTTTAAAGACAATATTAATTTTCACCCTTTTAATTATGCTCTTATCTTTATCTATTTTATAAATACTTTACACACTTAATTACAATAAAATCTTAAAATTTTTTTCTTAAAATATGTGGTGTATATTACACTATCTTTTTTATTTTAAAATTATATAATCCAAGATTTTAAAAAGTTAAAATGCAACAATTTTATTAAATTTATTTTTTAACTATAGTCTATAGTCTAAGTTTCATTTGCATGATCTAATTTCATAAATTCTTTCATGCTCTACATTTTTCTTTAAATGTATTAAATTTTACACATTTTTATTAAAGATAAAAATTATTTTATTTTATTTTATTATTTGATGTCAAGACAAGCCTTATACTTGTTATTACAATGATAAACGTTGTTTTACAAATAATACATTAAGCTCGTATTCATTAAAAAAAAAAATGTGTAAAAATTATAAAAAAGACTTTTAATTAAAAAATGTCAGACAAGTGTTTAACAACACTAATTCAAAAAAATAATAAAATAGATTAAATTATTATCTATACTAGTTTTTTAAGAAAGAGAATTATATAATTTAAAAATAAAAAAATTATATTATATACAATTTTTCAACAAAGAAAATTGTAATTTGCGCTAATTATAAGGATTTACGTTTAATGAAGTTACAAATAAGTATTTATATAACAATTTTTTTAACAAGAATTTTGCGAATGGTAAAAAAATTTATATAAATAATGTTTTTAAAATTATAAAATTTAATATAATTAAATATATTAATATTATTAAATGTTATTATTTTTTAATAAAATCTTATTATATAAACACCTTATCATATAAATATTGCATAGATTAAAAAAATCTTTATGTTAACATTCACTCATTAATTTCATCGTCTTATCACCTATATATTCTAATTATGTCTCATAAACAAATGGGTCTCTCAAAATTAAATGTATCTAGCATAGTATTTTCTGTCATATACTAAAACATCAAACCTTTTACTCTATGCTAAATGGGATTAAGTAAACGTTCCTTTCTTTGTTTTTGAATTGGATGTGGTCAAAAGACAAAAACATAGCCTCTTACTTAATCACCTTTCCATAAGAAAGACACAAAAGTAGAGAATAAATGTATGCATGCAATCACATGCCTACAAGATCAGTTCTTCTCTTCAAGTTGAATGATTCTATCCAACAAGGCTCAATTCAAATTATCACATAGCATGTGTAAAGTTTTCATGTAGATAATAATGGAATAACTTATATTTTTAAAAATATTTTCACACACACACATATATATATATATATATATATATATATATATATTAAATAATGATAATTGAGTTATATGTTAATTATATAAAACAAACATATAAGAAAGTCAGCTCATCATGCATCAAATACCAATAGGGTGCACAAGATTACTTTACATATATTTGTTTTTAATTATATATTTGAAACGAAATCAACTTTAAGTTGATGAATGTGTTTTGGTCAATATTCAACTGAAATTATGATTGAAGTTGACTCTATCAAATGATATACTCCATTAACTTTAAACAATCCAAGTTAGCCTCTAATTTTTTTATTTTTTTTTACTTTAAAAAAGTCAAAGTTATTATTTAAAATAAACGCAAGTTGCTGTTGAAAAAAATAGTTTAGAGGTTAGAGCTCCTTCTTTAATTAAGCTGCCAAATTTGAATAATCTGATGCATTTAATTTGAATGGAGATTGATTATCGAGGACAATTAACCCAGAATCCTGCACCAATAAATTGGTAACTTCAACACTTTGTTTGGTAGAATGAAATGAAGAGAAAATTAAAAAATGAATTTTTATTTCAAAAAATAAATTTTATTTATTTTTTAATTACCTTTCAACTAAATAAGGAAAGATATATCGTTATTTTTCTATTATTTTCTCTTTTATTCAAATAAATCATAAATTTTAATTATTATTTTCTTTTATTTGTTTTCTTTTGTGATGATCATTTAGTATCATCATCGTATTTGAATTCTTTGAACGAGATTGCGTGCCCGCTAATTCAAATAGAAAGATTTTATATTCTCTCCATGACAACATCCGATTCAAAGCATGCATGGATCGATTTAATTCTATTTTCATTTTATGCAAGGGATAAGTTTTAAGCGTAAATTCTTATTTTATTTCTTAAAAACTTGATTATTTGTAAACTTTACGATTAAAATATTTTTATTATTTAATTTTTTGAAGTTTATTGTTATTTTTAGATCACTGATAATATTTTCTATAGCACAGTAGAATTATTAGCTTTTCTAACAATTTTTTTCTTGAACTTGAAACTTTAGTCAAAGAATATTAAGTATATACCATTTAAATAATTTTTGTTAATTTTTCATTTCTTCATTTGCTTGAGTTTAATAATGTCTATAATTTTAAATTTGGATTTTTAATATTAATAAAAGATATGACATATCTAATTTAGTTAATTAGATCAAA